ACTTTAACAGGTTTTCTTCTCAAAAACATATCTAGTAAATATCAGTTTTTTTCCTAATCAGATGCAAATATGAACTCACATCTGATTGGATGATGAAAAGTTGTTGTCATTATGTAAATAATGAAGGTTTTTTTTAAAAGGCTGCCAATATCCCAACCTGCACAGTGGCAGAGTCAGAGGAAACATCACTGCATTTCCATAGACGGTTGCATGACTCGGTAAGGAAATCTCCAACAAACTAAATATACTCTTCTTGATTAAATAAGAAAATTGCTGTAGTGACAAACATCCATCAAAAAATTCTATATGTTTATGCTACAGGTTGACGCTGCAAATCTCAACAACATGGACAAAGAATCCACTGTCAACACCAGCTATTTGGTTGAAAACATACATCCCTGCTATGACTCAGAAAATGGAACATACATGTTTACAAGCAGCCCTTCTGTTGTGTGTGTGATTTTATATGTCTTTCTTGGCTTATTGTCTACTGTCACTCTATGTGGAAACCTACTTGTAATAATCTCAATTATTTACTTCAAACAGCTCCAAACTCCTACGAACTTCCTCATCCTGTCCTTGGCTGTTGCTGATCTGCTTGTAGGGGTTTTAGTATTTCCCTTCAGTATGGCGTTTGCTGTAAGCTCATGTCTGCCTCTTGAAAATGTATTCTGCAAAATACGAGATGCCTTTGACGTTACACTGTGCACGTCTTCGATTCTGAACTTGTGCTGCATTTCAATAGACAGATATTATGCAGTGTGTGAGCCTCTGACATACAGAACTAAAATGAATACACATGAAACCGTGATTATGATCCTGGTGAGCTGGGGAATCTCAGCTTTAATTGGAATTGGGATCACGACTGCAGGATTCAGCCAAGGCACATGTGAAGAAACGTGCTCATCTGACATTATAGCAGCCAATACAATGGGACCCGTTTTCTCCTTCTATCTACCAGCTTTTGTGATGCTTTGTATTTACTTTAAGATTTTCATTGTTGCTCAGAAACAAGTAAACAGCATCCAGGGAACAAACTATCTCAGCACAAAATCCGGAGCTGCTTTATCTAAAATGGAGCGAAAGGCCACCAAAACCCTGGCTATAGTTATGGGAGTTTTTCTTTTATGCCTCACTCCTTATTTCATTTGTGTTGTGTTCCTTCCTTTATCTTACGGCCCACCACCTGTCCCTGTGATCGAAACGCTAAACTGGCTTACACTGTCAAATTCAATGTTGAATCCCCTAATCTATGCTTTCTTTTACAGTTGGTTCCGATCAGCTTTCAGAATGGTTATTTCTGGAAAAATATTCCATCGTGATTTAACTAATTCAAAGTTATTTTGATTTTTTTCAATAAAAGAAATAATCTAATGTACACCTCAAAACATATGCGTACCAAAGGTTTGGCAAAAACAACACTAATATTCTGGCAGAAAAAAAATCCTGTTTCGATTTAATTAAGAGGCTTTAAAGTGCCCAACGTGCTATAATATGTAGAATAAATTATGTAAATGATAAATAAATCTATTAGAGCAGATATGGTGGGATGATTTAAAAGGTTCTGTAGGACAGTGTTTCCCAACCCTGGTCCTCAGGGCACACTGACCTGAATGTTTTCCATGTCTCTGCTTCAGTACACCTAATTTACATCGCCTTCTCAGGATGACACCAAGTGCTGCAGATGCCTGTTAATCACTCATTCATAGAAGTCAGGTGTGTGGCAGCAGGAAACACAGTTGTGTTTAAAAGGGCAACATGGAAAACATGCAGGACAGTGTGCCTTGAGGACCAAGGGTTAAGAAACACTGGTGTAGGACAAAGCTCAGATCTTCTGCTCTCCTCTTTCTCGCAGTCATTCATCTGCATTTATTCAGGGGTGGATGGCCCATAGACAGCAATAGTGCATCGCCCTCCTTGAGTCACACGAAAAAAAGAGGAGAAAAAGACTTGTCTTGTTTTGCCGCTCTGTCTGTCTATTACTGTCCAATCAACAACCTGATAGTCTCTTTCCAACCTAAAACCTCACCCCCTTGGCACGATCGCAATAAGATTTGAAATTGCACTAAATTTGTGGCAATTCAAGCAGATGAAACCACAGGCGTCTCTACACAGACTCAGCTGGTGCTCGTGTTGAGATACATTGATGGGAAGCATGCTGTGCAGGAACGGCTTTATGAATTTGTCCCCATCTTGGCTGGCTCCATAGCCGATGCAGTTTTGGAGAGCTGCGTTTTCACCGAGAAAGTGAAAAGCAAACTTATTGTGCAAGCTTACGGCGGTGCCAGTGTAATGAGGGGTGAATGAGGGGGTGTGCAGCAAAAGGTACCGGAAGAGTACAAAAATCGCCAATTATGTCCACTGTTATGCACACCAGCTAAATTTAATCATGCGGCAAGCCACTTGTCACATCCCAGCAGTGAGGTTTTTTTTTTCCAACTTAAGTGGGATATCCAGTTTTTTTACCCGGTCACCCAAACGCACGGCCATTCTCGACCAGATCGTTGCACGAAGGCTGCCCGGAGCATCATCCACAAGGTGGAACTTCAACAGCAGGATCGTGAGCACCATCCACGAGAACCTGGCTGACCTAACAGTGTGTTTTGAGACCATCAGGGCAGAAAGCTCATTTCACAGCACCATAGTGAGGGAGACGTCTGGGTTCCTGAGGGTGCTGCAGGACGAAGATTTCTGCTTTTTACTGCAGTTTTTTCTTCAAATCATGCCTCACATTGACATGATGTACCAACAGCTGCAGAAGGAGGACATTAACATGGTCTTTATCAAGCGTGCCCTGGAGAAATTCACCAGCAGCATTCAGGCCATCAGGTGAGAAAAGACAATGCTGTGTTCATAATAATATTTATGCACATCATGTTCATTACTATGTAGTAAGTAAGTACATTTTATTTATACAGCACTTATCACAGACATAGAATCACAAAGTGCTTCACATAGATCAGAACAAAATAAAACAAAGTCATAAAATCATGAATAGATTAACATCATAAAATCATCATGATCTCAAAACAGAATCAGATTAACATCAGAAAAAATAGTCATAAAATTATACATTTTCGCAAACAGAAAATTAAAAATTTGAGTTAAAAATAAGAAAACAAAGGTTTGGGTAAAAGCAGCTTTAAATAAAAGTGTCTTTAGCCGTTTTCAAAAGTGTCCAGACTGTCAATGCTGCGTAAGGATAAAGGAAGATCATTCCAGATTCGGGGTGCAACAGTCTGGAAGGAGCAATCACCTTGACTTTTGTATCTGGTCTTTGGAACTTCTAGAAGGTTCTGATGGGTGGACCTGAGGGCTCGGGTTGGAACATAAGGCTTTAACAGTTCAGTAATTCAGGAAGGAGCTTGACCATGTAGAGCAGGGGCGCATAATTCTGGTCCTGGAGGGCCGGTATCCTGCATGTTTTAGTTTGAACTCTGTTTCAACACACCTGATTTCAATCAGCAGCTAATTAACAGGCTTCTGCAGAGCCTGATGAGCTGCAGCACAGGTGTTTCAACCACTGAATCAAGTCTGTTGGAGCAGACAAACCACAAAACCTGCTGGAAACCGGCCCTCTAGTAACAGGATTGGGCACCACTGATGTAGAGCATTGAAAGTTATGATCATGTTTCTACCCCATTTCTGCATTCCTGTGGCAAACGGCCCCCCAATTCTATTTGCACCTTATGGGCCATTCCCATCAGTACCGGGTCGGCCCGGGCCAGGTAGCGTAGGTTGTTTACATATCTGGGTGGCCTGGTATTTTTCCGGGCCAACCAAGGCTCATTCTCAGCCCTCTTCTCGAGGGGGTCTGCTTCAGGCCGACCAGGGCCAACACACCCACTGCTGACAGCAAATTCACACCTTCCATTAGAGCAAGCCTCTGATTGGTGGGTAGAATCAGCCCACATGGGCTCAAGACAAGGATGTGTGGAATCAACCGGGCCAGGCTGGGGCCGACTGGGGCTACCCGGCCCGGGCCGACCCGGTACAGATGGGAATGGCCCATTAGACACTTCCATCGACCTAACCCTAACCAGATGAGCACTGGGCAAAGATTACTGGGTTCTAGATCAAAATAAGAATCTCCAAAGGTCCAAACTCTAAACTGGGTGATTAAACCAAACTCAAGATGATATTTTAAACTAAACTGAAAACCCACAACACTCTAAATGTAATAAAAGGGAGATCTACACCACAAAAAAGATGAACTCTAAACCAAAACGTAACAGCTTATCCCAACACAAGAAGCTGTTAGCGAAAATGCTAACAGTAGCTTTACCAACATTAAGTTACCAAAAACACCAGCAAACAGACCATCACGGAGGAGAGACTGATACCACAAAAACAGCTCTCCTAATGTCTGAAAGAAGCTCCTTTATGAAGGGAGAAACTCTACCAGTGATTTTCTACATTTGCGATAGAGACGGAACAGCGCATTTGACCCTGGAAGTTGTTGTCCGTTGCCGGGAGACGAAGGCGGGCAAAACAGGAAAGGAATCTAGTAGCGGACGGACGTTGTTCCGGTTCTTTGGTATTTGGCGGAGATGTTGGTTAAGTCAGAGAAGAAGGCGAACTAGAGGAAAAACAGGCAGATTCCACTTCTATTTACAAACTCCTGGGGATGCAACAAGTGGGTGTGGTGCGTCGACTACCGGATCTGACATCAAGACATTTTTCGATTCGAGCCGTCGATGTCATCGACGCTTCGCTACAGCTCTAGCCAAGAGCTGGGAGCTGAGTCTACAAAAGCGGACTCATGGATCTTTGACCGCGGTGGAACAGCCAAGCCCGATAGCCTCTGCCATCCTTGGTCAGATCTTTTAGCTCTAGTTTTTTTTACCCATTAGCCACACCAACACGTTATATTTCAACCCTCTTGACCAAGCAGTGTTATGGTAAATGCACTGAATTTTCCCCCATTCAACCAGCAAACTGTTAGCGAGAAAAATGCAGTTGAGTGACTCAAAAGTTAAGCAGCTTCATCTAAAAGAGCTGCGGTGTTTCTGTGGTCCCCCTCAGAGATCCACCAATGACCAGCAAGACTACAGCCTCGCATCAGAGCTGGCCTGGCTGCCCTGGGAAATGGGAACAGCCAGCTGCCTGCTCTCGCAACTGTTCCTGGGCATGAGGCAGGAGAAGCTGGACATCCGCTAAAAGTTCTTATGCACTCCCACTTACATGTTTGACCAAGCAGTTAAATGACAAATCCTTTTCTCCATTCAACAAGCGAAGTAAAGCACAGGGAAAAAAGTTTTCTTACTGATAAAAAGAAGCAGAAACTGCTTGGATGGCATGTTAGACTACCATGACCAGAAAGTCTGGGTTAGCTTAAAACAGCAGGGAATCAAGAGGACAAAGTTCGGAAAGAAAAGCCAACTCACCAGGTTGGACCCAGGTCTCCATCATGCAGAACAAATTCACACATGGATCCACAAAATATTCCTTCAAGATAACCATTTATTTCAGAGAGACTGGACATTCAGGAGAGCAATCTTGAGGGATGAGGTGGGTTCTCGGCTAATATCCGAAAGTTACAGAGTCATGCCAGTCACCTCCGGGTAACTGAGATTGGCCCGGTTTACCCCACCAACCTGTTTCTAATGACGGCCACTAGCTGTGAGATGTTAGCCTGGGTTGGAAGGCCTCCCACAAAAGACCTGGACAGGGTAAGCCAGGCAGAAATTAATGTTATGAACTGTAATGCCCTTATTGAACTATGTATATGTTTCAGAGTATATTTGGGTTCAATTTTTATTTAAAAACCACCCAAACAGAACACCAAAGTGTTTTTTTTATTTATTTATTGAGACTATGAAGAGTGAGTTCCCAATCGTAATATGAAACTGCCTATTACAGTATAATGACTGTTTCAATTTAGAACATTCTGTTAACAAAATACAATGTATTTGGATTAATGATGACCCTTAAAAAATGGATAAAACATTATTATGAAGTAACAACCATAAGGTTTATAGTAGGCCATATAATTTTACACAAGACATCAATCCTGACACTCAGAGCTTGTTTATTTTTCACTTAAAACCCTTGATACAACCCAACACCTGTAATAAAGGTGTAAATGACCACTGTGTATTTTTTCCCCCTGAGCTTCTACAGAGCTATGTTACTCCCCTATGTGTGCTTCATGTGAGTGAACTAATCCAACTGTCTCAAAGCAACTAATTACTAATGTCATGTTCTCAGAGTTGAAACCTGAGGGGAAAATGCAGGAAAAGTTGCGCAACAAAATACAGTGGGATGCAAAAGTTTGTTAATCTTAATGATTTTGCTGTATAAATGATCGGTAGTTAAAAATATCATATAGGACACACACACAGTCATATTTGAGAGGTGAAACAACGTTTATAGGATTTACAGAAAGTGTGCAATAATTCCCTGTCTTAACTTAAGTGCGGTTTTTGTGCAGACAGGTGTATTTTTGTGGTTAATTTTGGCTATGCTACTGCAGTGTATCCTTTTTTGGGGGAGAATGTGTATTTTTGGAGGAAATATAATAATTAAAAAAACTCCCCTATTCTATTTTATGTAACACTGAAATCATTTTGTAGCATTACCTACCTTAGCACATTTGTTGGGGCCATTGACTCCAAATTAGCACATATGTAAAAAATTTTTTTAGTAAGCCTAAATATTAAAATATATAAATATTTTTTAATTTATTTATGATTCTGTCTGGGTTCCCAGGGCAGTTGCACGGTGAGTCCGAATCTGTGGGCAGGATGCTTATGAGTACGGTACAGTAGAGTACAACACCCAGAGAAGTCACACTTACTCACAAGTCAGCATTTAGGCCAGGGGTCGGCAACCCGCGGCTCTGGAGCTGCATGCGGCTGTTTCATCCATCTGATGCGACTCTCTGCATGTAAACTAATTAATGAGTATTTAATAAAAATTGTATTATTTTACTGCATTCCTTTTTTTACCTGTATGCCAATTCTAAATTTAATGATTGTCTGTGTAAACCTGAACAGGTCCAACGGTTGGCAGGTCTCCTGCTTGTACATAATCAAAAGTCTCTATAGGCGCTTTCTGAGCTGAAGAGGATATGAGATTCTGGACTTTGCCTCAGACAGGCTCATGGACGCGTCGCAACGTCGCCACATAGGAGACGGGAACAAGCGCTATTCAGCCAAAGTTTCATAATCAGAGAACATTTTCTAAGTGACAAGTCTCTCAGAGAGACGGGGATTGGGAAACACTTGCTTCAGTGAGAAGAATCTTCCTTTTTTATTTCATTTTTTTTAAAGTAAAGGATAAATGATGATGGTTTATCCCTAGATGTCCATGTGGCAGGGGTGAGGTGAGGTGGTGCTTACTCCTCATTCCTGCCAATCAAGGGGTAAACCATCAACCCTGTTCAACGGTCACATTTCCTGGAGGGGTCACCTGGTAGGACAGTGGGAGGGTTAACCCTGTATTTACAATGAATAATAGCAAAAACATTTCATAATTGTTTTATTTGTCATGTACAGGTTAACAGCATTGCTTTAGATCTTGTTAAATGACTCTGATGCACCACTGCTGTTGCTTGAGTTTGCAACCCGAGAAACATGGTAGATATCTGAAAGACAAATAATAAAATGGTAATATTCATAATGTAATGAAAAGCTGTTGTATGTAAAAATGTGGAATAAAAACAAAATGCAAACGCACGCCTTTTACCACAAAATCGATTAAAAATCTTGAGTCCACTGAAAGAGGAAATTCCAGCAGTAGTACTCTAAAGAAGAAAATATGTGTAGAAGTAAGTTATTGCCTTTTCACCAAATCATATAAAGTAAAAGTTCAAGTAGACTTGGTGACCTGTATTTTGATTTAATAGCAACTACAATAAACCAAGTTATTAAGAAAATGATCAAAGTGTTGGTACATGTAATAGTTTCCTTCTACTTACTTTGGTTGGCTTTGATCCACTATTGAGAGTAGGTACAAGTCTTGAGATCAGGGAACGAATCTACACCCAAGTTCAGTTAAAAAAAACACCACAAGTCAAAATTACTCTCTTTTTACACATTAGGACAACAATATTCTGCAGCCAAATGAGAGATTGAGTTGATAAATACTGACGCCAAAGATGACCTAATGTGCTCATTTGTACTGCAACACTAGATAAATGAGCTGCCAAAGCTGCTTTTATAATTATTTTGAATAAGAAGCATCTGTAATGATTTTTAAGGCAAGAACTGTTTTAAAACAAACCATTAACAAATATAGATGCTTTTGCACTTAGTTAATGTAAAAATAACTGATAAAAGCCATTTATGTTCAAAATCCTCAAACTTTATTTCAACTGATAGCACCTGGAGTAAATAATCTAAATGCATTTCTTAGAAACTATAAAGCCGAGCTATCCATTATCGCAAATAAACTCTTCATTTGAATACGTTCTTTAAGTTTTACCTTTTGTGAGGTACTTTTATGGCCAAAACATGAAACCTAATTATATCTATGAAATAAGCTTACATTTTACGTCAAAAAATTGTAACACCAACTATAAGATTTTTCTCCCCCAAAACAGCAATTCAGTTAAAGCCAGTATACCTTAGAATCGAATAGTGTCCCAAATACTAAAATGAAGAAGCCCTGAGGAATACAAAATATGTATATTAACTGAGCATAAAGACAATGTATCCATATATCAGCATCAAACTGCTGCATTGTTTCTTTAAATACCTGTAATGAGTTGAAGAAAGCAAATGCAATGTGGATTCCATCATTTGTTGGTGACACCATGGTTCCAATTCCCAAAGACCAGGTCAGTCCAAATAAAGGAGTCAGGATAGCCACACATCTTATTATGACCACAAGGGTGTGGTTTTCATCTGCCTGGACTGTCTTTCCCATACGCCTTCTCAACATTTTGAACAAGACTACAATGATGATAAAAATATTGATTACAACTATGGTCAAGGCTGGTATCACCATGGCCAGTAGAGCCTTCGTCTCAGACCAGTTCAGCCAACAAGCTTGATCTTCTTTGATGTATCCACCCTTAGGTGCTGTGACAGCAACTGTAATCACAGCTATGATCAGAGGGCAACCGTATCCCAGAAGGAAGCCGAGGGCCAACATGATCCACTTGGACATGTGGGAGAAGACCATGACTGTTCTGTAAAGGAGCAGGAGGCCTGACACAAGCATCCAGAAAAACAATGCAAGGTAGAAAAAGTGCATAAAAAAGGTTACTGCACTGCATGGTGCTATTGGAACTTTGTACCGATTTGGATTGTCATAAAGGTTATTTGCAACGTATGCACTAACAATAAAACAAATGTCAGCCATCAAGAGACTCAGGGCAGTGTTAACAATGGAAACGTGACGCATAAAGGCAGTACTGTTTTTGGTTAGGGCTCTCCACACAATTCCTTCAATAACGAGACACATGACTAAGCTGGCCAGAGAAATCCCAACTCCAATATAAGTGATTATATCCAAGGCAAGGCTCTTATCTGGAGGAATACTAGTTGACATGAGAATTGAGAATGATGTGAGATGGCTGCAGTTGCAGGTTACTGTGCCATTTATGTCAGACACAAACTCACATCCCTCATTATCCCAAGCACCAAGTTTATCAAAGAGGCTAAAATTCCAGAATACACACTGAGGACTCTGTGACAGGCTTGTGTTGTGCTTTTTGTAGCTCAGACTGACGTTAACATTTGTTTTATCTAATTTGACAAGCAGCACTGCTGCGTTGATGGCATTTCCATTGTCCGTTTCATTGCCGCTAGTATTGAAATAGGTGAAGTTAAACATGGAGTTTCGTGTTGGCATCACATTATAAAGGGTAGAGAAAACCAGTGTGGTGATAAAGACATTGTTAAGGGCTGTATCTTCTAAATTAATGGAAACGGTAGAGTTCAGTTCCTCATTCAAATAGTTGCTGAACATGGTTCTGTTGAGCTGGATATTTTGAGTTGCTATGTCAAATGTCCCATTCAGTTTTTCAGAAATGGTCTCCATCGAACCCAGTAGCTCTGAGCTGGAATTGTTGGTTAGATTTGAATTCAGACTAATCCAAGTCTCTTTTGAACCATCACTAATGATGAAGTCAACAGTTTGTAGAACATTCTGTAGATGAAGATAAGTGTTATTGTCGCAGTGCATTTCTGTCAAACAGCAGTTCATTATATATTTCAGTTATTTAATGAAAGGTTTGGAAAATGAACAGATGTTTACGTACCTCCATAACAACTTTATTGATTTCTGTTGAAACAGTTGCAATGGTAGTTAGCATATTTACAATAGCTGATATTGTTGAAGATGAGTTAGAAATTTGATGTTGTTTTTCCATGACAGCTGTTCTCAGATCTCCTGTAAAGTTCTTTACTTCATCATTTACCAAGTCCTGAAAGAAAACACTAATGCCAATTTACGTCAATCTCACTTTACCCATGTAACACATTAATAAAAAACTTCGAGAGTGATTCAGAGTGGCTCACTTTCAAAAGTCAGAAACATTAATATTCCTGGCCCAAAAAAAATCCTAAAGGGGTTAATTTTGCTGATCGTGAATAATTTTTTATTGATGGAAATGGGAAAAAAACTTGGATTAGAGCAAAAAATAAAAAAGACTAAATTGATTTAGCCTGGCAAGCCAGACTAAATAAATGTATTATTTAGTCTGGCCACGCTCCATTGACAGCTCTCGGTTGTGGGGCGGGTTCTACCGTTGTCTTTCAAATGATCTCCGCATTCCACTGGACAATGAATGTGACATACTCTTGTTTCACTCTGTTGCATCATCCCACCCACCAGGCATATAGAGTGCCCTGATTGGCCCACAAAGCGGATAAAGCTCTGTGATTTGTTCACTAAGCAGATAGAGCACTATGATTGGCCCACCATTATGGACCAATCACAGCTCTTTATGTGTTTGAAACCCCTCTAGAGGGCTGTGATTGGCTAGCCAGAGTCCTGGTAGAAGCTGCTGAGGTTCCAATGGAGCGTGTCTAGACCAAACTTTGCAAAGCAAGAATTTGGTCTAGTTCACTAGGCTAAAATTGATTGCCATTTTTGTCAAACTATATAATAGGCTAAACTAATCTTGACAATGACGCAAATGAAATCAGGAAATGAGAGGATTGGACAAAGAAGCCACTTAACAAATTTAACAGATAAGACTAACTGAAAAGCGAACCATTCAGAGTCCACCTTATTGAGAGGTTAAGCAGAGTTAGCCACTGTCTGAACAACCTCCCAAAATGGCAACAATTCAACGGGTTGTGTTAAAAAGGAGAAAATGCACTGACTGTGACGACCTCAAAAGTATATGCTAACTATTTTAGTTTTATCAATTATTTACAATTTGCATAAAACTTTGATAAAAGATGACATTTTTAAATAGCTGTAGGGAAATATTGTTTATTTTTTCATTCATACATGCCCATATTAAGATATGGAGATTCTGGTCCACCATCCGGCACCTCAGGAGGGGAAAGCAGTGTGCTACCAACACTGTTAACAGTGAGGATGGTGTGATGCTGACCTCTACTTAGGATGTTGCGGATCGGTAGGTGGAATACTTTAAAGACCTCATTAATCCCACAAGCATGTCTTCCAGTGAGGAAGCTGAGCCTGGAGATTTGGGTTGAACTCTTTAATCTCTGGGACCAAGGTCACTGACGTTGTCAAAAAACTCCTCGGTGGCAAGGCCCCGGGGATGGATGAGATCCGCCTGGTGTTCCTTAACACTCTGAACGTTGTAGGGCTGTGTTGACTGATGCAGCTCTGCAGTATTGCATGGAAATCTGGGGCAGTTCCACTGGACTGGCAGACTGGGGTGGTGGTCCCCCTATTTAGAAAGGGGGACCACAGAGTGTGTTCCAACTACAAGGTGATCACACTTGTGAACCTCCCTGGTAAGGTCTATTCTGGGGTTCTGGAGGGGAGGGTCCTTCGTATTGTCGAACCCCGGATTCAGGAGGAGCAATGTGGTTTTGTCCTGGCCATGGAAAACTGGACCAGCTCTTTACCCTCAGGAGGGTCTTGGAGTGTGTGTGGGAGTTTGTCCAACCAAACTACATGTGTTTGTGGATTTGGAGAAGGCCTTCAACTGCGTCCCTCGGGAGGCCCTGTGGGGGTACTCTGGGAGTATGGGGTACCATGATCTCTGATGAAGGCTGTTAGGTCCCTGTATGACTGGTGTCAGAGCTTGGTCCGCAATGCCAGCAGTAAGTCGGGCTTGTTGCCAATGAGAGTTGTATGACGATGAGGCTGTCTTTTCTCACTGTTTCTGTTCATAACTTTTAAGGACAGGATTTCTAGGCACAGCCAAGGGGATCCTTTTTGGTGGCCTGAAGATCGGGTCTCTGCTTTTTGCAGATGACATGGTCTTGTTGGCTTCATCATAATGTGATCTCCGGCTTTCGCTGGAGCAGTTTGCAGCCAAGTGTGAAGCAGCTTTGTTGAGAATCAGCTCCTCTAAATCTGAGACCATGGTCTTGTGTCAGAAAAGGGTAGGAAGCCTTCTCTGGGTCAGGGAAGAGGTCCTGCCCCAAGTGGAGGTGTTTAAGTATCTCTGGGTCTCGTTCACAAGTGAGGGAAAGCTGGAGCGTGAGATCGATATGCGAATTGGTGATGCATCTGCAGTGATGCGGGCATTGTACCGATCTGTTGAGGTGAAAAGAGAGCTGATCCAGAAGGTGAAGCTCTCGATTTACCGGTCAATCTATCTATGTTCCTACCCTCACTTATTGCCACAAGTTTTGGGTAGTGACTGAAAGAACGAGACTGCGGATACAAGCGGCCGAAATGAGCTTTCTCCGCTGGGTGTCTGGGCTCTCCCTTAGAGATAGGGTGAGAAGCTTGTTCATCCGGGAGAGGCTAGGATTAAATCTGCTGCTCCTCCACATTAAGACGAGCCAGTTGATGTGGTTCAGGCATCTGATTAGAATGCCTCCTGGACCCCTCCCTGGTGAGATTTTCCAGGCACGTCCAACCAGAAGGAGGCCTAATGGGAGACCCAGCACATGTTGGAAGGACTATGTCTCTTGCCTGGCCAGGGAACCCCTTGGGGTTCCCCCGGAAGAGCTGGCCCAAGTGGCTGGGGAGAGGAAAGTCGGAGCCTCTTGACTTAGGCTGCTGCCCCCGTGACCCGACTTTGGATAAGTGGAAGAGAATGGATGGATGGACATGCCCATATTTCTACAGTTAATTTTCAGTTTCATCCAAAGCGTGCTTAAACCAATTTAAGGGGCTAAAATGTTTTCTAACAAATACTAAAATGCTTAATTAAAATCAGCAGATTACTGGGAAAAGGTTTTTAAACATATCCCCAACATCTCACATTACCATACAGTGTGGTTTCATTAGATAATTACCTACCTTTGACTGAGTTAACAATTCCTTGATTATTGTTATAATGCAGGTGTCCTCCACAAGTTTCCACACTCCAGGTTCTTGACACTGAACAATTGTGTGCCCCTCTAGACCTTCACCACACATTATGCCAACTTTGTCGCCTATACGACCATCTCCATACTTATTATTTTTACATATAACATCTTAAGTGAGGAACAGTGAATCAATCAAAAGGACAATAAAACAACATTATGTACATATTTATAGTTTTTACTTTCCTCTTACCTTCTACAAAAATGGTCAGCTTTGTTTTTGCTTCATAAATTAAAGAAATGTTTTCAACTTTACATGTGAAGGTTTTTGTTGTTGGGGTATTGCAGTTTTCCATTTTATAATTGTACTTGGTACAATTTTTGCCTCCAACGGAATCTGTGAACATTTTACAATTGAGGTCAAAATTCAGATGTATTTTTAAGCTTCCAATCATGAATACACTGGTTTGTTTTAGAAATTAAATTTATGCTTACCTGAAAGTAATGCGACCGAACTATTATACCATTTGACTGTGAAGGGGGACTGCACACAACACTCGAGTGACTGTATCTGATTTACTTGGCACTTGACAGGTATTTCACTCTTGACTTGTACAACAGGAGCTGCTCTGATGTTTTCCTGTGACAGTGTTTTGTTTTGATGGAAATAAACATATTCTCCCATCAGAATGCATGTATAGAGTCCTACAATTAAGAGAAGCACAGTTTTATTTCACAATGAATTACCTACTCTTCAGCAATAAATCAGCATTTGGCCAAAATGTGGATGTTATTACCAAATGTAATAATCAAATTTTATATGTATATATATATATATATATATATATATATATATATATATATATATATCACAGTTGTGGTCAGAGGTTTACATACACTTGTAAAAAATATAATATAATGGCTCTACTGAGTGTCCCGTTATTTCTAAAACTCTGATTTTTCTCTGATGGAGTGATTGGAACAGATACTTCTTTGTCCCAAAAACATTCATGAAGTTTGGTTCTTTAATGTCTTTATTATGGGTTAACAGAGAAAAGTGATCACATTTGCTGGGTCACAAATATACATACAGCAACATGAACTAGCAATTTTGGTGACTTAGAAACGTGTCAGTGAACTGAGCTTCATAGCATGGCCTCTTAACTTCTTGTGAGTGATTATGAGTGACTACAGCTGGTGACTTCTCTTAGGCCAGGTAAATAGGGCTCATTGGATGCAAACGCCCACAAACGCTACAATGGGAAAGTCAAAGGAGCTCAGCATGGATCTGAAAAAGCAAATTATTGACTTGAACTAGTCAGGAAAGCCACTTGGGGCCATTTCAAAGCAGCTGCAGGTCCCAAGAGCAACAGTGCAAACAATTGTTTGTAAGTATAAGGTGCATGGCACTGTTTCATCACTGCCAAGATCAGGAAGAAAACGCAAGCTATCACCTGCTGCTGAGAGAAAATTGGTCAGGAGGGTAAAGAGGGAACCAAGAATCACCAAAAAGCAGATCTGCCAAGAATTAGAAGCTGCTGGAACACAGGTGTCATTGTCCACAGTCAAACGTGTTTTGCATCTCCATGGACTGAGAGGCTGCCGTGCAAGAAGGAAGCCCTTGCTCCAAAAGCGGAACCTTACGGCTCGACTGAAGTTTGCTGCTGATCACATGGACAAAGATAAGACCTTCTGGAGGAAAGTTCTGTGGTCAGACGAAACGGAAATCGAGTTGGCCACAATGCCCAGCAATATGTTTGGAGGAGAAAAGGTGAGGCCTTTAACCCCAAGAACACCATGCCTACAGTCAAGCATGGTGGTGGGAATATTATGCTGTGGGGCTGTTTTGCTGCCAATGGAACTGGTGCTTTACAGAGAGTAAATGGGATAATGAAGAAGGAGGATTACCTTCACATTCTTCAACATAACCTCAAATCATCAGCACGAAGGTTGGGTCTTGGGCACAGTTGGGTGTTCCAACAGGACAATGACTCCAAACACAAATCAAAAGTGGTAAAGGAATGGCTAAATCAGGCTAGAATAAGGGTTTTAGAATGGCCTTCCCAAAGTCCTGACTTAAACCCCATTGAAAACATGTGGACAGTGCTGAAGAAACAAGTCCATGTCAGAAAGCCATCAAATTTAACTGAACTTCACCAATTCTGTCAAGAGGAGTGGTCAAAGATTCAACCAGAAGCTTGCCAGAAGCTTGTGGATGGCTACCAAAAGCGCCTAATTGAAGTGAAAATGGCTAAGGGACATGTAACCAAATATTAGCACTGCTGTATGTATATTTGTGACCCAGCAAATGTGATCACTTTTCTCTGTTAACCCATAATAAAGACATTAAAGAACCAAACTTCATGAATGTTTTTTGTGACAAAGAAGTATCTGTTCCAATCACTCTATCAGAGAAAAATCAGAGTTTTAGAAATAACGGGACACTCAGTAGAGCCATTATATTATATTTTTTACAAGTGTATGTAAACCTCTGACCACAACTGTAAATATGCCTTGGGGAAGAAAGGTGATTTAATTGACTTTGAACAAGGCATGGTTGTTGGTGCCAGACGGGGTGAGTATTCATTCATCCGAAGCTACCTGACCTGAGCCTGCTACACTCCTGGAGCTGACCAGCTTAGGTCTGCTGTGTCCTGCTGGAGACAATTGGCCTAAGCTTGGACCTACTGTGTTCTTCTGGAGCTAATCAGCTCTGAGTTTGCACTTAGAGCGTGTGCTAGGCTTGATCCTATGGAGGTCAGTATTATTCACTTCTGTTAAGTGTTGAAGGAGGTGAATGATGGTATTATTTATTACTCTTATACGCCTATTGGCTTCTTGGGATTGTGGATCGAGCACTATATCTGGTCACATTATGTTGGATCTTCTGACATTCATCTCAATTTGGAAAACATTGCTCTATGGCTTTTCTGAATGAAGTTAAACTGGATCAAAGTATAAATCTGTTTCCAACTCTGTCTAGAGACCTTCCTAAACTGCAATGTCTTCTTGCTCTGTGTGATTATCTCATTTGACATTCATTAGAGGTTTCTGCCTTGTTCCAACACATCAAAGCACTGAATCAAAATAAAATGTGAAACAAGGAATGCTGATTGTCTTACTCCTACATTTATCTGGAAATGTACAATCAAACCCTGGTCTTAAACTACACTGCACCCGAACTGCTTCTGATTTTAAATCACTGTCTGGTCTTAAATCTGTCCACCTGAATGTGTGTAGCTTACTGTCAACAATGGACAAGGTCAGAATCTGGGTTACATCGACTGGGGCAGATATAATCTTAATTTCAGAAACTTGGCTAACTAAATCTATTATAAATTAAGACATTGACATAGATGGGTATAATGTCTACCGTACTGACAGACCAAATAAAAGGAGGTGGTGTAGCTATTTATGTTAAATCAAGATGTAAGGCTTCTATTGTTTTGTCACAATCAATTTGCAAGCAAATGGAATTTTTGGCCTTGAATGTAGAAATGTGAGAATCCCTGGTTTTCACCAGAATTAGTAGAGATTATACATGAGCGAAACAGAGCTTGGGACAAGACAGGAAGAACAGACTTGTCTGCTTTTAAATAGCTGAGAAATAAATGCACTTCCCTTATTAAAAAGGCCAAATCAGAATATGTGTCTGTCACCATTGAGACCTTAATGATCCTCAAAGATTCTGGAAAAAGTGATTAAGTCTTTTTCAGTATATACGTTTTTTCACGCTCTACCTACATTTGTTAGTTTCAGTTTATGATAGAACTTGAGACTTGAAATGTAGATCGGTTCCTTCTTTGATCCTGTAGGAACCCTCTTGATAAATTCTGGCACAGTACCCCCAAAGCTTTCTGGAGATCATTTTAACTTTGTACCTTTTTACATTTCATGAAGTGCATTAAGCTTTAAAAACGTTAGATCACAGAAAGCCTGCCAGGACCACATTTAATGGAGCCATTTTTAAAAGACGGCAGCAGGTTTTGTGGCAGAGCCACTTACAACTCTTGTTAATCTTTCGATCAACACCAATGAAGTTCCATTAGTGTGGAAATCAACAAAAGTTTTACCAGTCTTAAAAAGAAGTGATCCAGCAGTTCAGAATAATTACAGGCCAATATCAAATTCATGTGTGTTATCCAAGGTCATTGGTATGTTTTCATACACAATTTATTGCTTGGATTATTGCCTTCATATTTTTGCACTTTAATCACATGGAGATGTATTGACTTCTATTCTTCCAATGATCAACTGTTGCCCTATGTCCCATTTGCTTGTACAGAGCCTGGAAAGAAAGCATTTGCCTATTCAGCTCTGTCTGATTGGATCCTGCTGCAGAAAACTGAAAACTGACAGAACTAGTTTTCTTAAATGAATCCAAAAGCAAGCTGAAAGCATCAGAGACCACATCAGTAATGTGCAATGATTTTTAACGATCCATCATATTTTCACTACTTTTATGTTGTAACTGTGTCAAATGTTGCTGCCTCTTGGCCAGGACACCCTTGTAAAAGAGATTTTTAATCTCAATGGGACTTTTTTATCGCCATGTGAGGATAAAGAAAACTTAAATCACAGCATTTTCTCTGACCGCTCGATTCCAAGAAGGCAGCCTCCTGTCTGCATGTCAGAGAAGAAATTAAATAGAGAAAGAGCTGGATATGGTGGAAATGCTTCTACTTGTTTTTTTTGTTTGTTTTTTTTTGATAAGGTGTCGCCACCATGGACGTAATTTTTATTTTGTTTTCAAAAGTCAATTTTTGTCCCCTGCACTTTTTACTGTTCAGAAACAATATTACACTGTTACGGACGGTACCCTTTTCGGCCACCAGATGGCCTCAGCAGCACCTTCATCACCCGGCTCCTTTCCCATGTAACCCAGCTGTTTGTAATTCTAATCACTCCAGCAGCTGTTAAAAGGATCACACCCGGGATGAGAAAGGGGGAGCAGGCTACAGGGAAGTGTTTTCACTCCTCTCTTCTCCTCGCGTGCTCCGCATAGTGTTTAGCTTGTTTAGTAAACTTGGCAATTGTTAGGAACACTCGGTATTTGATAACAGGACATTTGGATTTATAAGTGAGTCTCTGTTAACAGGACAGCTCCATTTAAGCTTTAGGATTTTTTGTAGATTACTTATTGGCATTTTCAGTTAAACTTTAGTAAATTGTTCTTTTGTTTATCCTTATGTAAATAGCCTTAATATTGTATATACACTTTGACCCTTTTAGGGTTTCCTTTATTAAAACCCTTGTTTAATCAATTTCCCTCCGGGATTAAGTATTTTTGAATTGAAGTTTATAGCGACACACAACTTTGTTATTACTCTCAGCATTACACTATTTCATTACTCCCTCTACCACATCACTCCTAGCGAGCTTGGGGACGTAATATATGCTAAAGAAGTATGAATAAAAATGACTAACAAGTTGAAAACAAAGTAGAATTGAAAGTATTAGGTTTTTTTATAAACATTTCCGTAACATGTTACGTTTGTATTAATATCACTCATTCTAGTCAAAATAACATATCTAATGTATCCACAGTTAAACTGTGATCAGTAGAATTGTGAACAGTGAAATATAAAGTTAAAAAAGAGTGCTTCATGTGTTGCATTGTTGGATAAAGACTAGAAATATCTAAATAAATAAAACAATTCACATTTTGTTGGAATTGCTTGAATAAAAATTTCTCCAAATAAAGTTGGTTTTGTCTTACCAGCATCAGAAAGAATGACATTGCTGACCGTCAGAGTGGACTGATTTCCATCAGATGAACTTTTAAACCTAATTGAGTTTATCGGCAAATCTTTAAATTTCCAGACATTTTGGGAAATTGTTCCAATATTAAAATCAGGGGGGCCACATGTCAGCATCATCGTTTGACCCGTATAGGTGATGGCAGCAGATGAAACCAAGTTAGTAGGGCCTATGGAGAAACTAAAATAAATCAATTCAATAATTTATTTTACACATGCACCCATCCTCACCCTACTTACTATAGTACTGTGCAACAGCTGATTCAATGACTGGGGCAATTTCCCTCAAGGCTCCTGTTAGATTTTTATTTGCCTCAGTCATTTTAGTCCCATCAATTTGAGATGTCTTGACAGTAAAGTCTATGATCACGCTTCCTTTTCTGTGAAAAATACATAAACCTTCAAATTGTGTTGAGAAATACATTAGGATTTCTTACTCATCTGTTATAACATTATATTTGATAATGGAAAAAGTTCCTTACCTGAATCTTGTCACAAAAACACTAATGAATCCTTTTATGCCACCATACTGCTTCTGTAACTGTGAGAGAAACATGATTCATAACATCAGTAAGAAAACACAAGTGTCATAAATGTGAACATTGGTTCAGGTAACAGTGCACTTACTATTGGAATAATGCGTGATTCAAGGTCTTTGTATGCAATGCTGTCTTTATTGTTATAGTCTGGTTTGTATTCCATGTCTAGTGTGACTGATAATGCCACTTCTGTTTGGATATAAAAAAAAGTTAATGGCCATTGAAATTAAACTTACATTCACAAACATGCAAAGAAAGAAAGAAAGCGATCTGTTATATAGCACCTCTTATGATAAAAATCACAAGGTGTTTCATAAAAACAAACAAATTAAAATATAAAAGAGAATTTCAATAAATGATGATTAAAAATTGCTTTAAAATGAGAAAATAATAAGAATTGTGATTACAAAATGTAAGGAAAATGAGAGAGGAAATGAACAAAAAAGAGGGAAATCAGTGAAACCCGTGAAAGGCGGAATAAGAGCAGAAAAAGGAAAGGACGATGACAAAGGTCAGGCAAAGGCCAGCTTGAACAGGTGAGTTTTCAGCGGCTTTTTGAAGGAGACAACTGAGTCCACTGCTCTCAGGCTCGGGGGGTGGGGTGGGGTGGGGGGTGGGGGGGTTCCAGGGGTGGGGGGTGGGGGGGTTCCAGAGTATGGGGGCCACAGCAGCAAATGATCTGTCACCTTTGGTCTTTAGACTGGAGTGCTGCACAACCAGTAGGCTTTGATCACTGGACCTCAGGGCCCTGCTGGGGATGTAGGGACTGAGAAGATCACCATTGTACGCTGAACAAAAATATAAATGCAACATTTGTTTTTGCTTCCATTTTTCATGAGCTGAACTCAAACGTGAAACTTTTTCCACATGCACAAAACACCAGTGACTCTCAAATATTGTTCTGAAATCTGTCTACGTGTGTGGCATATCAAGGGGCTGATTAGACAGCATACATAGTGTACAGGTGTGCCTTAGACGGCCCACAATAAAAGGCCACCCTGAAGTGTGCGGTTTGATCAACCAGCCCAATGCCACAGATGGCAACCTTTGAGGGAGCGTGCAACTGGAATGCTGACTGCAGGAATGTCTACCAGAGCTGTTGCTCGCAAAATGAATGTCCATTTCTCTATCATAAGTCATCTCCAAAGGCGTTTTAGGAAATTTGGCAGTATATCCAACCGGCCTCAAAACTGCAGACCACATGTGAGCAAACCAGCCCAGGACCTTCACATCCAGCATGTTCACACGTCCAGGATCGCCTGAGACCATGACCATGATACATGACCATGACAATGTGTTACAGTTTCTGCCAATATTAAGTAACTTCGCACAGCTATTGAAGAGGAATGGACCAACATTCCACAGACCACAATTAACCACTTGATCAACTCTATGCAACAAAGATGTTTCATTTCATTTCATTTATTTATAAAACCCCTTCTGCGACCAATGCAGACGTCCAAGGTGCTGAACACAACACAATAAAAACATAAAACCATCAGAATAAAATATGACAATGGTAAAACCAACATAAAATTCATTAAAAGAGGAGAGTAAAAGCAAAAAATAAAATCCTGAAAAAGATTAAGAGGCCGGGGCATCGAAACTGGGTAAAATTTGCTAATCCTGGAATGCCTCGACAGAAAAATGGGTCTTAAGGCGAGTCTTAAAAACCCCCAATGAGGGTGACTGACGCACCACCAAAGGCAACTGATTCCAAAGTGCAGGTGCCAACACCGAGAACGCACGGTCCCCCGTGACCTGCACTTAGTGCATGGAACGATCAACAGCTCCCTGCCCTGTGTTGCCCTGTCTGAGGCAAATAGTGGCCACACCAGATGCTGACTGGTTTTCTGCCCCACTACCCCCCTTAAAGCAAAATTGCACGTCAGGGTGGCCTTTTATTGCGGGCAGTCTAAGGCACATCTGTGCATTATTCATACTGTCTAATCAGCCCCTTAATATGCCACACCTGTGAGGTGGGATTGATTATCTTGATAAAGGAAAAGTGCTAACTAACACACATGTAGACAGATTTCAGAACAATATTTGAGAGTTGTGGGTCTTTGGGGCGATGGGGGCACAGGAGTTAAGTGCTAGCCCCATAATTGGAAGGTTGCAGGTTCGAGCCCCGCTCAGTCTGTCACTGTCGTTGTGTCCTTGGGCAAGACACTTAACCCAAGTTGCCTGCTGGTGGTGGTCGAAAGGACCGGTGGCGCCAGTGCTCGGCAGCCTCGCCTCTGTCAGTGCGCCCCAGGGCAGCTGTGGCCACATTGTAGCTCATCCCCACCAGTATGTGAATGTGTGTGTGAATGGGTGATTGACTGATTGTGTTGTAAAGCGCCTTGAGGGGTTCCGGGACTCTACAATGTGTTATGTCAAAGACAGGCCATTTACCATTTACCATTTTGTGCACATAGACAATTTTTCAAATGTTTGAGTTCATCTCATGAAGAATGGGAGCAAAAACATAAGTGTTGTGTTTATATTTTTGTTCAGTGCATGATGATGCTTGTCCATGTGAGGCCCTAAAATCCAGAACCAGGATCTTGAAATTAACCCTGAAGTTGACTGGCAGTCAGTGAATCTGGAGGAGAAGCGGGGTGATGTGGGTGCTATTGGAGAACTTGGTCAGAAGTTGAGCACAGGCATTCTGAACCACCTGTAGATGGTTCAGGGAGGTTCTGCTCAGACAAGTGAAAAGCAAGCTGCAGTAGTGAGGAGATGAAGGTATGGAGAACAATCTCAACATGAGAGCAGGGCAGAATGGGACTCAGCCTTGCAATGTTCCTGAGATGGATGAAGGAAGAGCGAACAAGAGAACTGGCATGAGAATCCAGGGTGAGAACTGGGTCAAAGGTCACACCAAGTTTCCTGACAGAGGGTTTGGCGTGAGAAGCAAGCTGACCAAGAGAGTCTCTGACTTTGGGAACCAACTTGTCTGGGGCCCAGATGAGGATCTCAGTCTTATCTTCATTCAGTTGCAAAAGGTTCTCAGCCATCCAGATTTTAATAGAGTCTAAGCAGGTGTGTAACAGCTGCAGCTTAGGTATCTCATAGGGCTTAAAGGAGATGTACAGTTGGATGTCAGCTGCATAAAGTTGATTGGACATTCATTTAAAGGAGCTCAGGATGTGCTGAAGAGGAAGCAGATAGAGGAGGAAGAGCAGAGGCCCCAGCACAGAACCTTGTGGGACACCATGGGTAAGAGAGGTGGTGGAGGACCTAAACTTGGAGACGGCCACAGAAAAGGAGCGCTCAAAGATGAGAGGAGAACCACTCCAGAGCAGATCCTGAAAGGCCTACCCAGTCTCTCAGCCTCTCCAGTAGCAGGTGATGGTCAACAGTGTCAAAGGCTGCAGTCAGGTCCAGCAGGACCAGAACAGAACAGTCCCCTGCATCACTGTGGGTCAGAAGGTCATTAGAGACCCTAAGAAGAGCTGTTTCAGTTGAATGAGCTCTACAAAAACCTGACTGGAAGCTATTGTAGATGTTATGTTCATCAAGAGCAGCTGTGAGTTTAGCCACAACCTTTTCCAAGATCTTGGAGATGAACGGAAGTTTAGAGATGGGTCTGAAGCGGCTATGGAGAGAGGGGTCGAGACTCGGTTTTTTAAGAAGCGGGTGGATTACAGCGTTCTTAAAGTAAGCAGGGACCTGACCAGAGACCAGAGAAGCATTAATTATAGAGAGCACGCTGGGACCGATGGACTGAAAAGCATTTTTAAACAAAGATGAGGGTAAGATGTCGAGGGGGCATGCAGAGGTCTTCATAGAGTTAACTAGTTTGGTTAGCTCAGGCTAAGAGTAGCAAATACATCTAGGATGAAGGGCCTGGTTGGAGTCGGGAGAGGCAGCAATAAGGCTGAAGGAGAGATGCTAGATCTGACCTTGTTGACTTTGTCCACAAAGAAAGACAGAAAGTTCTCACAGTCTGCAACAGAGTGGATGGAGGCTGTAGGAGAGGCAGGAGAAGCAATGCTGCTGATGGTGTTAAACAGCACCTTGGGATTTCCTTTGCTCTGGGACACCAGGTTGGGAAAAATAGGCAACTCTCATGTCTTTGACTGCAGAGTTAAAGGATGTCAGAAGATACTTTAGGTGCAGCAGATGGATGTAGAGATAGGTTTTCTTCCACAAGCGTTCAATTTTTCCTGCATTGGTGCTTCAGGCTGCGAATGCTGCCATTAAACTAGAGAGTAGAGTTCACTGCAGGAACTGATCTGGTTCTGACAGGACAGATGTTGTCCAGAATGTAGAGGCAGTGCTCGTCAAACTGAGAAGTTACATAATTTGGGTCATTATCAGAAGAACAGGGTGGATCAAAAGCAGCAGAAAACTTGGACAAGTTAAAGAAAATGAAATGGTGATCTGAAATATAAACGTCTTCAGGACAAACACTGTCACCATTTAGACCCAGGGTAAAAACAAGGTCAAGAGTGTGCCCTCGGGTGTATCTGGGGCCAGAAACATCCTGGGTAAAACTGAAGGAGTCCATGAGGCTGTAAAAGAGTCACAGCAAAGTGGTCTGAGGCATCATCAATGTGAATGTTAAAATCACCAACAATAACCAGTCTGGACAGCTTCACAGTGGAGAATAGAAAGTCACTAAACTCTCTAAAGAAGGCATCAAAACTATGAACACATGTGGAGTTATGTACTTGCTGTCAGACTCTACAACAAAGCTGTTGGATGAAGTGTACTCTGTATTTCTAGCTGTATCTAGTGTGGTTATTATTTATTATTTTTAACCCATTCTTAAGGTATAAACTGTCTATTGTATTGAGTTTATTTTATCTCATTGCGGTCGGTCTTATTGTATTTTAGTGTTTTTCTCCCTCTGCTGCATAACTTTTACTTTTACTTTGCTTGGCTGTAAACAAAACAAATTTCCCACTTGTGGGACTAATAAAGGTCATCTTATCATCTTATCTTATCTTAAAAAAGGTGAAATAACTGAAAACATTTTTTATACAATATTTTCTTCAAAAAAGCAAGTGTGCAAAGTAATTGGAGCAAAGGGTGGCCTTTTTGAACATGTTTTCATTTATTTCACCTTTTTGGTTACACAACTCCACATGAGTTCATTCATAGTTTTGATGCCTTCTGTGAGAATTTCCCAATGTAACTAGTCATTAAAATAAAGAAAACACATTGTATAAGAAGTTTTGTCCATACTTTTAGTCAGCGAGCGAGAGAGAGTGAGAGAGTGAGAACATTAACATAATAGGTGATGAGCAAAAGTGTTTTAAAGGAAAACATGCTTACTGTATCATTTCAGTCAATAATGGAAGGTAAATGAAAAGGAATTACACTATAACAAGTTGTTGAACTTCTGATTCTAAATTTTTGTATTGCTAGCATGGTATTAAGTGTTTTGGGCTCAACAAATATTTCTTCTAAAGACTGAAAAAAGGAGATCACACACTGGGTTCTAAGCATTGGTTCTACTGTAAGTAAATGCAAAAATGTTTTTTTTAACAATACCTTTGATTGGTATAGCTGTAGTTGAAGATGTAGTGCTTGTGCTAGTTGTAGTGGTGGTGACTGTTGTTACTGCTTTTGCTGTAGAGAAGACTGTGAAAGCTGCAGCTGTTTCTTTGGTTGTAGAAAACATAGTAGAAGCAGTTGAAATCTTGGTTGTGGTTGGAATAGTTGGAGAAATTGTAAAGTTGGTTGTGGTGGGAACATTAGTGGCAGTTTTAATGTTGGCTGTAGTGGGGATAGTATAAGTAATTGTAATGTTAGTAGTGGTCGTAAAATTTGGAGCTGTTGTAATGTTAGTTATGGTGGGAATAGTAATAATAGTTGGGGCTGTTTTTATATTGGTTGTGCTGGGAACAGTTAGAGCGGCAGTAATGTTAGTTGTGGGGATAGTTGGAGCAATTGTAATGTTGGTTGTGGTGGGAAAATTTGGAACAGTTGTACTTTTGCTTGTCATGGGGAAAATTGGAGCAGTTGAAATTGGGATAGTAGGAGCAGTTGTGATGCCGGTTGGGGTGAGGATATTTGGAGCAGTTTTGATGGGAACAATTGTACTGTTGGCTGTGGTGGGAAAATTTGTAGCTGTTGTAATGTTAGTTGTGGTGGTAATAGTTTGACCAGTTTTGATGTTGATAGTGGTGGGATTAGTTGAAGCAGTTGAAAAGTTAGTTTTGGTGGGAATAGTTGGAGCAGTTGTAATGTTGGTTATGTTGGGAACTATTTGAGCAATTGTACTGTTGGTTGTGGTGGGAAAATTTGTAGCTGTTGTAATGTTAGTTGTGGTGGTAATAGTTTGATCAATTTTGATAGTGGTAGTGGTAGGATTAGTTGAAACAGCTGAAAAGTTAGTTGTGGCGGTAAAATTTGGGGTTGTTGTAATGTTGGTTATAGTGAGAATAGCTGGAGCAGTAGTAATGTTGGTTGTGGTGGGAAATTTTGGAGCTGTTGTAATGTGACTTGTGGTGGGAATAGTTGGAGCAGTTTTAATGTTTATTGTGGTGGGCAAAGTTTGATCAGTTTTGATGTTGGTAGTGGTGGGATTAGTTGAAGCAGTTGAAAAGTTAGTTGGGGCGGTAATATTTGGGGTTGTTGTAATGTTGGTTGTGGTGGGAATAGATGGAGCAGCTGTAATGTTGGTTGGGGTGGGAACAATTGGTGCAATTGTAATGTTGGTTGTGGTGTGAAAACTTGGAGCTGTTGTAATGTTACTTGGTGAGGGAGTAGTTGGAGCCGTTGTAATATTAGTTGTGGTGGGGATAGTTGGAGCAGTTGTAATGTTGGTTGTGTTGGGAACTATTTGAGCAATTGCACTGTTGGTTGTGGTGGGAAATTTTGTACCTGTTGTAATGTTAGTTGTGGTAATAGTTAGATCAATTTTGATAGTGGTAGTGGTAGGATTAGTTGAAGCAGCTGAAAAGTTAGTTGTGGCTGTAATATTTGGGGTTGTTGTAATGTTGGTTGTGGTGGGAACAATTGGCGCAAATGTAATGTTGGTTGTGGTGGGAAAAGTTTCATCAGTTTTGATGTTGGTAGTGGTGGGAAAATTTGGAATTGTTGTAATGTTACTTATGGTGGGAATAGTTGGAGCAGTTATAATGTTGATTGTGGTGGGAAAAGTTGGAGCAGTTGTGATGTTGGTTGGGGTGGGAACAATTGGAGTAATTGTAATGTTACTTGTGGTGGGAATAGTTGGAGCAGCTGTAATGTTGGTTGTGGTGGTGATAGTTTGATCAGTTTCGAAGGTGGTAATGGTGGGATTAGTTGAATCAGTTGAAAAGTTGGTTGTGGAGGTAATAGTTGGAACTGTTGTACTGTTAGTTGTGGTGGGATCAGTTGGAGCTGTTGTAATGTTAGTTGCAGTGGGAATAGTGGGAGCACTTTTGATATTTGTTGTTGTGGGGATAGTAAGAGCAGTTGGACTATTGTTTGTACTGGGAAAATTTGAAGGTGTTGTAATGTTGGTTATGGTGGCAATTGGTTGAGCAGTTTTAATGTTGGTTGTAGTGTGGATATTAGTAGTTGTAATGTTGTTTGTGATGGTGATAGCGATTGTATCTTTAGTTATCGTGGGGATGGAGGTAGCAGTTGTAATGTTGCTTGTGGTGGTGATTGTGGAAGTAGCTGTATTGTTGGTTGTGTTGGTGATGGGGGGATCAGTTGTAATGTTGGTTGTAATGAGGATAGGGGCATCCAAAGTACTTTGGGTGTTAGAAGTTGTAAGGGTAATTGTTAAAGGGGGAAATGTAGTTGAATCCACAGTTGTACCTGAAAAGACAACAAGACATATTTGTGATGTTTAGTTGATTACACAATTTAGTTTATCTGTAAAGACCCAGCCTTTTTTTTCCTTGCTCTATTTCATTTTGGTTCAGTCCTTTAAGTCTGCCTTTGGATGAGCCGTCTTCAGCCAAATTAACCAAGACAAGACAGCTTTATTTATATGGCACATTTTCTACACAAAGGCAATTCAATGTGCTTTACAGCAGTAAGAACATACGAGACAAACAAACACAAAAATAAACAATGGAATTACATACAAAACACTGAACACTAAAACTAGAAAATTAACATAATATCAATAAAACATTGAGAAGAGAAATAAATTTGGTCAGCCATGTTCTACTAAGCAATTGAAAACAAAGATTAGGCTAAAGGTGTCAGGAGACTAAAACTAAGGCAGTAATAATTGGTACAATGAACTACAGAAATGCGTTGTTGACAGCTAACTAATCAGGGAATTACTAAAACTAGCAGTATTGAGGCATACCAAAACTAAAGCAGTAAAACTGGTACAATGAACTACAGAAAACATAGATGACTATTAGTAGAAAACAAACAGAAATTCAGTACTTTGAGTAGATTAAAAGGCTGACCAGTGAGCATCTATTTTCACTCCACAGGGAGTTTTGTGTTCTTCAGCCAAGGCTGATGAGGGAGTCAGATTCAGGTAACAGTTATTGTTTCGGAGCAGGCCAGAGATAACGTTTTCCTTTCAGCCTTAGGCCGGGGACACACCGGCAGCCGAAGCGCCGGGAGGCAAAGCGCTCACGAAATTCGGCCGCTGCTCGCTGCTCTTCAGTTCAGACCAGATGCCTGTTTCTCCGCTCCGGTCGAGGCGCGCCTCGTAGTTTTTCTTTTAACCACTTGGTGTCCTCCATTTCCTCTCCACCTTTTCTCTGCTCTTTTCCTCGACACCACCCTCCCCCTTGCTGTTTGTGTGTGTGTTTGTCCACTTGTGTGTGAACCTATGGTGTGAACCAGTTGTTAATAGCTGGCCTACGACTTTCTGCCTCTCTGTTCTGTTTGCTCCGGTTGAAAGACACCCAAAACCACACCCCCTTCACGTGGCCACACACACACAAGCTCGCTGTGTGTGTGTGTGTGGTTTTTATGCAGTGTCTGTTTACGAACACATCTGACTATCACGGAATTGTATTTTAAAATGCTTTATTTTGTTAAATTCACCGGCCTGCCTCTTATGTCTAGGTTTGACTTCCTGCCAGAATTGACGCGGTTCACGAAAAAAATAGAGCAGACGCCGAAACGATCGCTGCACAGCGCGGGCTGGAGCGCTTCGGCGGCCCATGTGGTCTATAGAATAGGATAACAAGGGCGCCGAATGAAGGCAGTCCCAATTTCGCGGCGCTTCGGCGGCCGGTGTGTCCCCAGCATTAGTTTTACTGGTCTCAGGGGTATTCGAGAGTTGGGGTGCAACAGTCTGGAAGGAGCGATCACTTCGACTTTTATATCTGGTCTTTGGAACTTTTAGAAGATTCTGGTGGGTGGACCTGAGGGATCAGGTTGGAGCATAAGACTTTAACAATTCAGTAATATAGGGAGGAACTTGACCATGTACAGCATTGAAAGTTATAGCCAGTATTGTAAAACGAACTATAGAGGTAATGGGTAATCGGTGCAGAGACATCAGAATAAGAGTGATGTGAGTGCTTCTGTTTGCTCCAGTTAGAAGCTTCACTGCAGAGTTTTGGACCAATTGAAAGCAGTCAAGGGCTTTTTTGTTAAAACATTATTCTGAAAGGAACCGTTGCAGCAGGTGGAACAGCAACAGATTTTATCCAGCTTGTCATTGGTTCTTTCGGCTGAAGAGGAAAGTTACGGACTGACCACTCCAACTTCTCTAGAAAGCTTTGAACTGGAGTTTAAGATGATGTGGGTATAGTTTTATAATTTGGATGTTTTGATTTACAGTCGAATCAAAAGAAGACAGATTTACCAAGCACCGCCAAAACCACGCCTCCATCAGATCTGGAAGATTCTGATTGGATCAGTAAAAGCAATGTGTCATGTGTCAAACTTTTGTGTAATCCAGTCTCTAGTAGAAACATTTAAAGTTATATTACTTATGTTCTGTAGGATTATAATATCAAGTAATTAATATTTTCATTTCACAAATAGGTTCACATTTTTATTATTGACTAACACTTTGTTTGATTAGCTTATTAAAAATAGAGATCTTTGATTTATTAAAAAGTCCTTTTTCTTCATTCTTCTCTTGGGCTGGAAAGGAAACAGTTTAGAAGCAGATGCATGAGATCTTAAACAATATCTCATGCAGATTAGTTCTTGCTGAGGAGAGGGGAGAAATGACTTTTAGGTGGAAAACCATTTCATTCATTTCATTCCGTTACATATCCCCCCCTTTCAATGGTATGGTGGTCTGTACAGAGACCGCCTGGCGTTAAATAAACTAGAGTCCTAAAGGGACTCCGATGATAGGGGAAGGTGCAGTTCCCCAGAAAGAGGCCAAAAGTGGTGAGGTACAAACCCCACTCCGAAGAACAGTCTTGCATACTCCCTTGGGAAGCACACAAGTCAGCAGATTATCAAGATATCCCCGTGGAAGTAATAATTTGAAGCAGGAGCAAAACTTTATAATCCACGGGTAGGGAATACTCCCAAAATAGTATATTGATCTTTGTAATTGCACTTATCGTGATCCAGTGCAGGAAAGAGCAGCAGGTAGGTCAGGTTCCAACGAGCGAAGTATCCCAGCAGCCATGCCGGAATCCACGGACGTCCAGGGCCTACAAGCCGGAACACCAATCAGGAGGAGCAGAATCCGATGACGAGTCATAGGTCCACCCCAGCAATCGAGTATCATCAGTGAAACTCAGAAGAGGAGAGAGAGCACAACACAGGGTACTTCAATGTAGACACAACAAAATGGTGTCTAATGTAAATCAATAAAGAAAAAAAAACCTAGCACTGTGAGTACCTGCATGTACTATGTGTAGCAATTATGTCAATAGCCTTTAAGTGAAGAAATGGATGCACTACACTACGTGTACTGGAAAAAGTGTTGCAAAAAGAATAAAATTAATAAAACCCTATACTGCGTGTATGGGAAAGAAATGGAATCACTTTAACAAGCAAAAATTTTATCAAAATGAAGGGCAAAAATGGTTGTAGCCCATAATGGTAAATTAACAAAGATAATCATAAAGTTTCAAAAACGTAATCACTGTAGTAAAATTCTACAAAAAGATAGTTATGAGTGTCAAAGAGCACTAAAAATGTAAATCAGTCAAGTTAGTAATCAACCTACATGTGAATGTACCCACAAGGAATTAAGATTAGTGAAAATAATAATAAAAATTTTTTTTGGGGATAACAGTAATATGTGGACTAAACCCATCTACTGTTAACTAACTGATTACCTGACTTTAGGAACCCACAGCATGTTCATCTCAAATCACCCAAGTCTGCACGTCATGTATAAATAGGAAAGACAACCATGCACACACACAAATGTAGACAAACTTGTGTAACTCTAGATAGAGAACCATTGAACCAACGAGGTGCAAAATCACCCCCCTTTCGAAGTCGGTAAGTTGTTGGTGGTCGCATTGACCAAATTAGTGGAACCCTTGTGCGGTTTGATTTGGTCCCTGTGGACCCATTTGTAGACGGGCTCCTTGTTTGTTTGGGTAATCTTGATCTGATACATGACTGGAGAGAGCTTATCAGTTATCAGGTATGGGCCTGACCACTTTGGCAAAAGTTTTTTGGCCAGCTTCCCAGAGGTGTTCTTGGTGTTACCAGTTTTAGGAGCGAAAATCTAGAACCAGGCCTCATCACCTACGTTGAGTTCAGAATGTGAGGCCTTCTGATCATAATAAGCCTTCCTGCCCTCAGCAGATTTCTCCAGATTTGTCTGTGCAAACGAGAATGCTGCAGGCAGATGGTTCTTCAGGTCCTGCAAATATTGTTTGCTCGTGTAAGCCTGGTCGGCCTCGGACTGAACTGGCTGGTACAGCAGGTGAAGTGGCAGGGTCATTTGTCTACCCATCATCATTTCAAACGAGGAGACACCAGTAGACTCATGAGGGGTGGCCCATATGGCCACGAGGACCAACGGAAGCTTCACATCCCAGTCTTGGTGATTAGAGGACATGTACTTCCTCAACATGCTGACAACCGTCCGGTTCATCCTTTCGACCTGGCCAGAAGACTGGGGGCGATGGCTAATGTGGAAATTGGCCTTCACACCCAACAGTTTCCAAAGATGTGCCATCACTTCAGAGGTGAAGTGAGTACCCCTGTCCGAGTCAACCCGAGTGGGAAGACCGAACCGGGCGAAGATGTGATTCATCAAGAGAATAGCTGTTGTTTGTGCCATGTCATTAGGTGCTGGTAGACATTCAACCCACATGGTCACAGGTCACGGTCAAGATGTATTTTTTACCCCTGCTGGACCTGGTCAGAGGCCCCACCCAATCGAATTGCAAGTCCAACCACAGTGTGGACGGTCCCTTTTTATGTAGGGGAGCTCTGTGTGTGGGGTTGGATGGCTGAAACTGACAACAAACCAAACAACGCTGGACGTGATCTGAGACGTTGCGACGCATCCCCGGCCAGTAAGCAACCTGGTTCAGGGCACCGAACGTGGCCTTGACACCTTTGTGTCCGGCAGAGGGAGAGTCATGAGCTTGCGTGATCATGCCCCCCTTAGTGACTGTGGCGCCATGAGGACAGGTGGCAAAGGAGGCTTGGAGGAGTGCATCAGCAACCTTTCAACCATTCTCAGCGTGACCCAAACACAAAAGAGAGCACGGAGCTCAGGAACCGAGTCAAGCTCGGTGGAAAAAATGAGCACCCCAAAATGAAAAGACAGAAAACATAGCAAATGACATTGTTGTGAATGACCGATGGAACAGTTAAGTTGTGTGGAGCGTGCAGGCACGCACGCACACTCACATAGCTAACAGGAGGGGTGGACGTTCAGTGTCTGTGTTTAAAACACTAGCTTGTTTTACAGATTCAGTAAAGCAGCTTTAACTTCCACTTTGAAAATTACAGAACCTTTGGTTACAGAACCAAAATCTGCTGTCTTCACTGGTTAGTTTCATTAAAAATAATTTATGGCAAGTATTTTCACAGTATCACACTTCAGTATTTCTACAAATGAACTTACTGTCGTCAGCCACAGACCGGCAGAACTGTCCATCAGGAGGAATGGCATTGATGCATCCACATGTGTCATAAGTAATACTGTCGCACGATCCGTACATTCGACATTGGTCATATGTCCAATGATACTGGTCCTCACATCTGCACTGGTAATTGCCGTTGAATGGAGAGCAAACTGAAGGAAAATTTTGTTAAATTTTTGGTCAGACAAAATATGTCTACTAACAGCGTTGATGCAGTAACAAAATTACAGTAAGTAATTTCTTTGGAAGTTTTTCAATAAATGTGTGATTGCACACATTTTCTTTATTACGTGGTAGAAATTATTTGATTTGATCAAAAAGAACTCAAAAATAAGTGTTAATGTTTAACAAATCTAACTTAATCTTAAATTTCCAACATTATTAACTAATTTACTGCCATTGGAAACTAAATTTGTCCTTTTTAAATCCAACCGGTCGCAGCCATTGGACGTGGTAGGTCTGGGAACGAGCCCCGGCACAGTGAGAGTAAACATCACGGCTCTAAAGCTGATCTTCACCCATGTGTGTCACACCTCACGTGATCAGGAAGCAGAAAATCCATGAATTAGGAGATAGTTTTGGGAAGCTGCTATGAAAAAAGCGAGATGCTAACCGGAAAAAGCTTCTGCTGCTCGCACAACGGATTGTGAAAGAACGGAAAAGGCTAGAAACATGCTGATTCTATTATGACTCCCAACCCTTCACCCTCCTCTGCCTCAGCCTTTATGCAGCACACCTTGTTCCCTCAGCAAGCTCCTGACAAGCCCTGTTTCCCTGGCAACCACAATCAGCTTCATCCACTTCACCTGCTCCTGACTCCGCAGCTCATCACTCACACCTGCTTCCCCTGCTATATATTCACCAGTCAGCCACCAGTTCCCTGCCAGATTATTGAACACATTTGCAAGTAAATCTTCTAGCCATCCACCCTGCCTGATCTCTGCCTCCGGACCTCGCTTTTGCTCCTGACCCCTGCCTTGTACTCTGCCCGCCACCACGACCTTCGCCTGTCTCCGACTCTGTCTCCAGCCTCGCCCACCTCTGGTAACTCTGCATCAAATAAAGACTTTTAAAGGTGCTTTTCTGTGTTTGGTGTCCTTACGGGTCCTTTTAGTTCAGCCTCGTGACAGATTCTTCCTGTTGTAAGAAGTGAACCTACTCTTTGGTTTGGTAGTTTTTGGTGTTTGCATGATCAAAGAGCACAATAATCTGTGACTCTTCAAAAAACAGTAAAAACACTCAAAAGCGCTGGAAGTCTGATAGACAGGGTTAAAGGTGGCTGGCTAATTTTTCACCGTTTTCCTGCTTGGAGATGTAACCACGAGACCAAGTATCTCTCGTTGGCTCGATTGGATCGCAGCTGTGAGGCGACTAAACATTACCTTCTGGAGTTTTTTCATTCTGCTAAGATACAGAAGGTGTACCTTTTTTTTGTACATCTGTTTTTTTTTCCTTCAACTGCAACAAGAACACACACACACACAGGCTGCACATACATACCGGTCAGCTAATGCAGGTGCACTGACACACAACACAACTTCTCCTGCTACACTTCTTCTGCGGGATGCACAATTTATACCCCTCGAACATCACTTTATTTTAATGTTCTCTCTGTCATCTCCCACAGTCTTCTTACCCAGAGAAAGTCTAATAAAAGAAAATCATAATTCTTTTCTTACCTGTGGTGAGATCAATTTGTGTCACATTCACTGTGGGACTCACAGAAAGATATAAGCCAGCACTGTTCAGAAAGGCCTTTAGGAAGTTCAGTGTGGTGATATCTGTCAGATTTAACTGCAACTCTACTTCGTATTCGGTTTGAACATGCAGCTCTGTACGGTGATTAAAATAAGAGACAATATAAGTCTCCAGAGTTTTATTGTTGACATAACGACTTTCTGACTCTTACCTGATACTGGCTGGCAGGTAGAGTTATCAGTTGGAATTCCTCTGATGCATTTACAGATTCCACTGGATAAAGAATCACAAGCTCCATAAGCAATACAGGTGCTGTGTGGCCACGCGTACTGCCCCTCACATTTACACTGGATACCATCGTCAGCTGACAAACACACTGTAGGGTGGTTAGAATGTTCATTTATCTTTGTGAAGTTTTTTAAAACAGCACAGGATTGTCACCCACCTGTTGTGATAGTAATGTTGAGGATCTCTGTGTCGTCCAGATGAACAGGAAAACTTGTAGCATGCAGGGTTGACTGAATTTGCTCCAATGATTCTACATTAGATGCATTAAGTAAAATGTCAACTGTGGATATCTCTTCCGCTGAAAACACTACAATGTGGAAATTAGCACAAGGAAAACATTACTTAAAACCTTTTCATCAGCAGTTTTGTACATAAAAACATGAACACATCTAAAACACGTTCATGGCTGAATGCTAAAATGCTGACCTTGTGAGAATGTCATGGTAAAAACTTGATAACTCTTGTATGTTTTTGTTCTTTCATTATAGAAATGTATGCAAGACTAATTTGACAAAAATAAAAAAATACACAATATTCCGGGTGGCTAACTTTATATTTACCCACAGATCTGTAAGTGTTTTACGTTGTCCTTTAGTTGTAAGTTTGATGAATACGTTTAAAAAAATATTTGGCCTAATATTAATGAAACTCACCATTTCTTTTCCCTCGCATGTGTGAAAGCCAATCTACTTTATGGTGTACCTAAGATAAAATAAATGCACAAATATTTATTAATAATACAAAATAAAGTACAAATCGTTGATCTTGTCATCCCATATTTCTTTTCAGGAAGGTAAATACAAAAAGTACTCATACCAGTTCATTTGGACTAGCGCAGTCCCCCATTTTTCCTGTCTCCAATAGAAGTAGAGTGACTACAAGGACAAAGATGGTCACAATATTCCTTGAATTGTCCATTCCTTTCAAGAAAGTAAGACAAAGACGAGACGGAAAAATCTAAATTAGAAAATTCTATTCAGACTGTATGAATACACAGAAACAATTCACTTTTTGTCTGGTCTTTATTACCATTGATATAAAGCATTGGTATAAATACTGTTTTAACACCTCACTGTTGTGGTGTTCGTTAACAGTGAAGCTTTATATTTTACAACAGGAGGCACTGCTTTTTTATATTTTTTGTATCATTATATAAATAACTTACCACTGCTTTAGCTCCTTCTACATAGATTGGATAAATGGCCATAAATAAGAAGACTGGCCTCATGCAGTTCAACGCATCTCTGTGGCATAGAGTTGATCAGCTTGTTGACTGTGGCCTGTGGAATGTTGGTCCACTCTCCTTATAGCTGTGTGAAGCTGCTGAATATTGGCAGGAATTGGAACACGCTGTCGTGTGCACCGATCCAGAGCATCCCAAACATGCTCAGTGTCGGGTGAGTATGGTGATGCAAGAACTGGGATGATTTCAGTTTCCAGGAATTGTGTACAAATCTTGAGTCACCTGGCTGTAGACCTTCACTGTCAGGCTGCTTCCAGTGGAGGCTCCACAGTCAGGACGGAAGTGCAAACTGTTTTCACACCAGCCTTGAATCCAATGGAGTCAAGTTGTCCCGAGTAGTGGTTAGTTGCTAATTTTGTCAAGAACTTATCCACATAAAGTAAATGCATGGTGTCATATTTTTTGTCAATATAGATGCCTTAAAAATGTCTATGCTAAAGAAGTTATTATTACGTGATGCAAATGACCGAATGTTAGACCGACAGCGAAGTTGTACAAAAGACCGCAGTACAACCAGGTCGGTCCCGAATCGTCTCCCGGATCACGACAGATAGATGAAATAGTTTGCATCTAGAACAGCTGTTTCCGAATAGCTGAAGGAACTGTTTAGCTGTGTCAGCTGTTGGCAGCTTTTAGCTTGTCGAAAGCTTTGGGTTAAAGAGATTGGCTCCGGATGGCCTGTCCGTAGCTTTCTCTAGAACTGACTCACCGTCTAGGGAGCTGTTTTAATATTCTCACATTATGATTTCTTGGCCAGCCGGGACATGCCATGTTAAGGGGTGTTCACAAGCAAACCCCAGAACGTCACGCCTCTTCAGTAATAATATAACCAAAGTAACTTTGAACTTCTGATTAAAACTGTTGTTTTCCCCAAGTTACACCTTTTATGTTATTTTTTTAAGCTTTCACAAACATATCCATCTTTTGATAAAAAATATATATATAAATAATTTTACACCATGTTATTGGGTCTACAAATCCATAATGAGTTAACTTATAGCTCACTGAAGTGGTTTCTATATTTCATTGCCAGCCTTGCATTCCACTGGCTGGAGTGCCAGCATGAAAGTGATTGCTCGTGGGAGTTTGAATCCTGGGAGTTCTAGTGTTGGTACTGGATGCGCGAATGACTTAAAAGTGGGCAATTTGGAAATAGTAGATCTTAAAATTAGACTAAATGTGGGAACAAATATCAAGTATTTTCAAGTAAACCTGTTCAAGTCAAGCCAAAGTCCAAGTCACTGGTCTACAAGTCCAATTCAAGTCCAAGTATATGAACGTTTATTCAAGTCAAGTCTAAAGTCATGAAATTAATGGCTCAAGTCCAAGTCAAGCCCACATGTGTGGAGGCTATGTTGACTCTGTTAATCTTCTGTTTAAAACAATCTGTTACTCTACTCTCACACAAACACTGTTTCCAATGAACCATGAATGAGTTATGTAGACCGACACCACAATAATAAAAAGTACATTCAGATTTAGTCTCTCCACGAAAATCCTTATCGTAATAAATAACAAAAGCACAAACATAATCTGCTGATTCTTTAGGAATGATGCTTTAATTCAAAGTTTAGTGTTTTCTAAATAAAACCAAATAGCTGGGTGAGGGTGAACACAACTGGCTTCATTACAACACCAACTCTATTAACTATATAAAAAGGAGTAAAGAAAGCTTTCTTACCAGTACTCTCTCCTGCTGTAATTGTATCCTGTGTGTTGAAGCGTTGTGATGAATAATAGTTTTGAGAGTGTGAGTAGGGACTAGTGAACCATTATTAGACAAAAGAAAAAAACATTTCCTGAAATACTGCCAGGGGCAACTGCTGTGTTGGCAGAAACTCAGCAGGTTCAGTCATTTCTCTGTGTCCTAGTTTGATATGATCAGAGGATTTTCTTTGGTGGAGATATGTCCGTGTTTGTCACTAATGTATAAAAGTTAAAACACTATATTGACAGATATATTATTGTAACAAATTTGTAAAATATTATTATTATTATTATTTAGCAATGGTTGAATCTTCCTATACAAAAGGGTGTGGCCTGAAACTTGAGAACAATGTGAGCTACATTATGCTGGAACAATGTACAGTGTGCACAAGTGTACACACTGCAGCTATGCAGGCTCTCTGCACTTAATATTTACATGCATTTATTTCTAAATTGCTATATACATTTTAATATATGTTAGATGCCTGCTTTGATTAGTTTTTGCCCTGCTGACGCAAATGGCCGGTTCGAGGGAGCCAGTCCATCGCAGGGCAACACAGAGACACACAGGACAAACAATCATGCACACACACACTCACACCTAAGGACAATTTAGACAGACCATTTAACCTAACAGTCATGTTTTTGGACTGTGGGAGGAAGCCAGAGTACCTGGAGAGAAACCACGCATGCACAGGGAGAACATGCTGACTCCATGCAGAAAGCTCCCAGGCCGGGAAGCGAACCCAGGACCTTCTTACTGCAAGGCAACAGCTCTAACCACTGCACAGCCCTAAGAGTAACATATGATTACTTAAAAAGAACATTTAAGAGAAATCAAATAATCATAAACCTGTCCTGTGAGTACCTCTGTACTATGTGACAGCATTTTGTGAATTATCTACGCAAAGAAATGAACTGCACCCTCTCTACGTGTCATGTGAAAAGTGATGCATAGAACAACAAATCAAAGAAATCAAACCCTAACTGATTTGGGAAAAACCACCTGCACTAATTAAAGGCTTTATAAGAATGAAGGGCAAAATGGCTTGTAGCCCTTTAAGGCAATTAACCAAGTCAATCCCTAAAGCTCAAACGTAATCACCCTGGAAAGCACTATAAAAATATAGAAATGTAAATCAATACTAAAATGTAAATCAGAGAGTTAGTAGTCCCTAAATGTAAGTTAGTAACAGGATAACTGGCTGAAGGCAGTTATCCTGAATAAATCTCAAAACTTATCAAAACTATTAAAAATTATCCAATAGAGAATTGATTGAATTTGGATCGACCCATCAGGTAGTGAAGAAGTCCACTTCCAACTGTTATGTTCTGAAAACACTTGAATATTGGAACCACAGCAGACCACAGCCAAAATTCACAAAGCCTGTGTGAGATTTGTTGACATGTCCATGCATGCATACACTCACGACAGAACAAACATGATCCGAAATCAGAGACGCCGGTGTGAGCGGGCAGGAGGTCACCCCCATTTGGGCACGAATCGGACTGGTGGTCAGCTATTTTGGTGGAGACAGTATCTAAATCCATTGGGTTTTTTGCGAGGTTTAAATCTGGTGCTGCGAACCCATAGAGAAATGGGTGCTGTGTTACCTGTGGAGATCCTGCTGATTTGAAACTGGACCGGGGCGAGTTGTGTCGCAGATGATTGGGTCTTCGTGTTAGTGTGCTTTCTGAACTGTGGCTCTTGAAACACACTGAAACTGCAGATCCTGTGGTCTACTCCAACATCTGGGTGGTTCCAGCCTGCTCGTCCCAGCTTTACAGCATTTCCATGATATGCAGAACAGCTCTTTCGTTTTGGCACAGTGGAAGTACACGACCTTCTTTAGAGTCTTATTGGCCTTTTTGAAGAAGTTTGACAGAGTCAACCATACTCTCCCTTGGAATTGGGGACAGCAACAGTGTGGCAAGATGGAGCAATTAGCTTGCTTTCGCCCGTCGGCTGTCCTTTCCTGCACACAGAGAGCAAGGAAGCTACACACAGTGTAGTGTTTATTCCATTTCACGATTGATTAACTCATATGAGCTGAAAATAGTCCCTTTATTCAGAGGCATGAGGAATTCTACAGTGTTATCAGAAGAAGGCCTTGTTTGGCAACACAGGCTGACATCATGTTCCTCCTGAAGTGTCAACAGGGTTTGCAGAACCTTGTTGCTTGTTGGAAGATAGAATGTGAAATCCACCTTTGAGCTGGAACTTATGTCTTCCGGTGACCGGTGATATGTAGGTCAGTTTTTAGGTGAAAACTGACCATTGCTGGACGTTACAGCTTTTCCCATATGAACCCTCGCGGTCCCTGCGCTCCTCTGGCAGCCGTCTCTTTGTCATTCCTAAAATCAGGACACACTCACAGCGAGGCGTCTTTTAGTTATTACAGCCCTCGCCTCTGGATCGGGCTGCCGGAGGATCTCAGGGTCGCAGAGAACGTTCACGTTTTCAAGATCAGGCTCAAGGCCCACCTTTTTAGTTTGGCTTTTAACTGATTACTATTTATTACATTGCTTGTTTTACTTCTTAATTTATTTTTAATTACTGTTGCGTTAGACGTTTATGTTGTTTTATTTGTATAATCACATTTTATTGGATATTTTACATCATACATTTTGCATATTTTCCATAATAGCTCTTGTTATTTTACATGTCACATATTTTAATCCTTCCAGTGTTTCCTCAGTGGAGCCCTCTGCCTCGGGACTGGTGGTCGGTGGCGGCAGCTGGGGCGCTCCTAGGGTAGTACCCAGGTAGTGGTGGGGGTTGCCACCCTCCCTCCCAGGGCGCCCTGGATTGGTGTCTTGGCTGCTGCCGTCGATCTGCTGCTGTCAAGGCAGATGGCTCCCATGATGGCGTTTCTTTCATTACCTGTCCAATCTGAGCTCAGCCTAGTGTTTACTGTGGTCTTTTAATGTGTCTGTGTGTGTGTGTGTGTGTGTGTGTGTGGCTGCGAATGGTTTGTGGATTGGGGGTGAAACTCACAATTATTTTAAGTGTGGGAAAGGGAGGGAATGCGGGTTATATGGGTCATTTTAATCTGTTAGGCACTTTGTGTTGCATCCTGTGCATGAAAAGTGCTTTATAAATAAAGTTTGATTTGATTTGATAGCTGTGGCTCGTTAAAGTCAGCAATGATGCTTGTCACAATATTGCTTCTTTGGTGCTTAAAGGGTTAAAACATAAACTTTAGTTTCATACCACTATCTAGCAACCCACAGAAACTGCAATTACAGTAACCAAATCTGACCACAATATGTCACTGTTACTTAATTCTTCACTTTTAAAATAACCATGTTTAAGGCTTATTGTACACCGCTGTATTTGGCCCACCTATGGACTAACTATAAGAGGTGTAGTATGCTAGGCTGCAAGTTGCCTATAATGGTGCTCTGTGTTTGATACTGAGAACGCCTAGATGTAAGAGGGACATTGAGACTTTTGTAAATGTGAGGGTGAGCAGCACCCTGCAAGCTGTTGTAAGAAATGGTATCATAAATGTATTTGTAGGGTGAACAATTCTAAAAATGTGATTGATTTAATCTGATCAGTACCTCTGTCAGCGCAACACACTACCAGTCAAAGATGTGGAAACACTAGTTTAACAGCCTTTTTACCTTTTAGATTAGGAAGTTACTATAATTTATGCTTTATTTTCACACTACTGTTATTATTGTCTCTCGTTTTTGTTTTTCATGATTATTTGTGTCTTGTGCTTTAGTGTGTCATATTGTGCTGATTCCATTTGATGTTATCTGTGCAATGTTTTTCTACTTCTGTGATTTGGACTACGAGTCTGGAATAAAGAAGATGTGACTTGACTATATGCACCTTCCCACAACAGGGTTTGCAAATCTCTGCAGGCAATTTCTTTTCAGCACAACAGTTGTTGAAATGTGCCTTCCCAAAATAAACAAATCACCAGCCGCCACCGACTGGGAGGCGTTTTACTCGCAACGGTGTAATACTTACTCTTAAAGTCACTGAAAGTCGACTGTCAATTTAACATTGCTGACTGATTTTTTATTGTGTTTCCTATGATCCACTGTGATTGCACATTGAAACTCAAACCATATAAATGAATTAGTGATACAAAAACAGTCTCACTGCCACCAGTAGTATAAACAAATAACTCACTATACAACTTCATGGTCTCCTTAATAACATTGTTCTACTAAAAACTCAACTCTTTTACTCTTGGAAAAAAGTGTTTACATCTGCTAATTCTGTTTGCTGTGATTCAGACACTGCTGGGTGATTCTGGTGAACCGCTGCTGCTACTTGAACCCACATTCTGTGAAACATGATAAACAGCTGCAATAAAAATAAATAGCATTAATTAGGATACAAGTATGAAGTTGAATCAGAGAAAACTCTTCACTGTAAAAAAAAAAACTTACCTCTTCGGAATCGACCCATGAAATTCCTTCCACCAGAAGTTGATGTTCCGGCACTTGTGCTCTAAAGTAGAAAGTTTGAAATGTCAACTATGAGTTGGTATTTACATCAGTCTGATTTTATGAACCTTTGTTTTAATTACTAATATCTGTAGATTTAATTCCAAATTTCAAATGATTACTAACTCTTGTTTGGTTGGAGCCACTGCTTGTTCTATGTAATTTCCCAGCGATTAGAGAACGAACCTACAGAAAAACAAAATTAGGTTAATAAAAAAATTAATACAAACTAAAAAAGTACTGTAAATACAATAAAATGCCTTATTTCTGAATCAATCAACAGTATGTCAATGTAATCATCTGTACTGCAATTCCCTTACATGTTTTCTGAGTTCTATAAACTTCTGCACAGCCCGGCGTTACTTTTTTCAGGCAAAGCTCAGTTTTAATTCTACTGAAGCTCTAATGATAACACATGCTATCTCCGTGTACATCTGTGAGGCTCTTAGCCCATACAGCACTGTTGAGAATGACAGTTTGCTTTTACGCATCATATAATACCAAGCCACAGACATTTCACTGACAAAAGGATTCCTGCGGCTGTCTGCGGAAAGAAGCTTTTGTTTTTAGGGTTTCTTTACTGCAAAATCATCTGCCTGCAGCTTGTAAACACACTTAACCAAAACATTTTTTTTCATTGAAAGTAATTTTTTTGTCGAGGTTGCACTAAAATTGTGTCACAGTAAGGCACTTAAACTTGTGTATACATGGACTTGGCTATAAGAGTAACTGTAAGACACTTACATTTGTTTTTACTTCGATTCTTCACTGAGTATTACCATTAAAACATTTAAAAGCTGTTGATTTTTTTACTTGCTGTATTTAGTAACTTAAGCCACAGACAGTCTGAATCCAAAAACTAGCTATTTCTACTGATCATGTACCTTACTGTGATTTTATATCAATGCTAAAGAGTACTCCAAAAAATTGGCATTGTCTCTCAGTTTACAAGAGTCACAAAATAAACAAAAGTAACTGGAAGAGAAACAAATTACAATGCAAGCAAGCCAAAATAAGGCCAGCAAAAATGTATAAATATTTGCAAAACATTACTTTAATGCACACATCTAACCAGAAATGATTTTTATAAATATAAACATGTCTTCATGAGTCAACATACCTTGGAATCAAAAAGTGTCCCAAACACTAAAATGAAGAAACCCTGAAGAAAAACAAAAGAATAGTCATAAAAACAACACAAAGCATGTATACGTAAGTGTTAAACTGCTGCATTGTTTCTTTAAATACCTGTAATGAGTTGAAGAAGGCAAATGCAATGTGGATTCCATCATTTGTTGGTGACACCATGGTTCCAATTCCCAAAGACCAGGTCAGTCCAAATAAAGGAGTCAGGATAGCCACACATCTTATTATGACCACAAGGGTGTGTTTTTCATCTACCTGGGCATTTCCTGTTCTTCTCAGCATCTTATACAAGACTATGAGAATGACCAAAATATTAAACACAACTATTCCCAGGGCTGGTATCACCATGGCCAGTAGAGCCTTTGTCTCAACCCAATTCAGCCAACAAGCTTGATCTTTCCTGATGTATCCACCCCCAGGTGCTGTGACAGCAACTGTAATCACAGCTATGATCAGAGGGCAACCGTATCCCAGAAGGAAGCCAGTTGCCAACATGATCCACTTGGACATGTGGGAGAAGACCATGGCTGTCCTGTAAAGGAGCAGGAGGCCTGACACAAGCATCCAGAAAAACATGGCGAGATAGAAAAAGTGCATAAAAAAGGTTGCTGCACTGCATGGTCCAACTGGAACTGTATAGTCCTGGTTTAGGTCTTCCAGAGGGTTCTTTGCTATGGCAGCCCCAATAATAAAACAAATGTCAGCAATCAACAGACTCAGGGCAGTGTTAACAATGGAAACGTGACGCATAAAGGCAGTACTGTTTTTGGTTAGGGCTCTCCACACAATTCCTTCAATAACGAGACATATGACTAAGCTGGCCAGAGAAATCCCAACTCCAATATAAGTGATTATATCCAAGGCAAGGCTCTTATCTTGAGGAATACTAGTTGACATGAGAATTGAGAATGATGTGAGATGGCTGCAGTTGCAGGTCACTGTGCCATTTATGTCAGACACAAACTCACATCCCTCATTATCCCAAGCACCAAGTTTATCAAAGAGGCTAAAATTCCAGAATACACAGTGAGGACTCTGTGACAGGCTTGTGTTGCGCTTTTTGTAGCTCAGACTGACGTTAACATTTGTTTTATCTAATTTGACAAGCAGCACTGCTGCGTTGATGGCATTTCCATTGTCCGTTTCATTGCCGGTAGTATTGAAATAGGTGAAGTTAAACATGGAGTTTCGTGTTGGCATCACATTATAAAGGGTAGAGAAAACCATTGTGGTGATAAAGACGTCGTTAAGGGCTGTATCTTCTAAATTAATGGAAACGGTAGAGTTCAGTTCTTCATTCAAATAGTTGCTGAACATGGTTCTGTTGAGCTGGATATTTTGAGTTGCTATGTCAAATGTCCCATTCAGTTTTTCAGAAATGGTCTCCATCGACCCCAGTAGCTCTGAGCTGGAATTTTTGGTTTGATTTGAGTTCAGCATATTCCAGGATTGTTTGGCGTCATCTCCAATGATGGCACTAACAGTTTCTAGAACATTCTGTAAATGAAAATTTGTTTAAATGTTAATATTATAATACTATAAATAATTGCAAATACTTTATCTGTGGCTACAACATTGAATGGTTGAAATACCTGCATGACATCTTCATTTACATCCATTGAAACAGATGCAATGGTACTCAGTATATTCACAATAGCTGCAATTGTATTGGATGAATTTGAAATTTCACTGTGTTTGCTATTGACAGCATCTCTTATTTTCGATGTGAATTGTTTAACTTGTTCATTTACCAGATCCTGAAATAATAAAACCAGTTAAATCGTTAGGAGATTCATTATACAGTAATGAAAAGAACATTTTAAAGAATGAGCACTTTTTGTCATGACCTGTGTTTCTCTAGTCCCCTACATTGATGCCAGTAATGCGTTACTTAGTAGTGTGTTACTCTAAAATGAGAACGACCAGTAACGACTAATCTGTTACAATTTCCATATTAATAATCAAATTAAAGTTACTTGCCCAAAGATATTAAACATTCTTAGTTACTATTTTTGTGATTTGCAAAAGATATTGCAACAGTTGACGAGCCAAAACCAGGAACACTAGTAGTATCATCAGTACCCATCATCAACTAGATTCAGAACAAGCAGCATACAATGCCTCTAAACGAACAACATTATGGTCCCATTTCTTGGAATGGGACCATAATGGTGTACAATTAATACCAACAAAAATAGCACATTGGGAACACTGAAAAAAATACTAACAACATCCAACACAATGACAATAAAACCTCAACAAAACACACCAAAATAGAACAAGAACAAGCAACTGGGCACCTGGTTACCCACAATGCACCTCGCCCACTGCTTGTTCCACTGTCACTACAATAATGTAGTGACCCTGCCCACCGGGGAACAGACAACAGGCGAGGTGCATTGTGGGTAGTGTTAGATTATACCCCCTGCTAGCACTTAAGGATCAGATAATCACACAAGAAGATATAATAGTTATTTGAGATTTTATAATCAATTAAGATCCACAAGTTTTGCTGATTTCATAATTACACAATGCATTAAAGACTACTGACTCTGTGACTCAATCATTTAAAGTATTAAAGGCCTCTTATTCTCAAGTCTCCTATTTTATTTAACTGAATACAGAATGCTTACTCTTGCATGCTATATAATGAAACCAGCATTTATTTACTCACCATGATTTGACAGCTAATGCTTCACACTGAGGAGCTTTTTGACCACCTCAGTGACCTCAGCCCCAGACATTGGAGAGTCCCACCCAAAGTACCCAGGCTCCACTTCCTCACTGGAAGATGCACCAGTGGGATTGCGGAGGTCTTCGAAGTATCCTGCCCTCTGATCCACAACATCTCGAGTAAAGGTCAGCAGCACATTGTCCCCACTATAAACAGTATTGGTAGCAAACTGCGTTCTCCTTCTGAGGTGCCGGACAGTGGACCAAAATCTTCTCGAAGCTATGCAGAAGTCTTTCTTTATGGTCTTACCAAGCTTCTTCCACGTTTGAGTTTTGCCTTTCGCAACCACCCGAGCTGCATTCCGCTTACCCCGGCTTTCCACAGGAGCCGTCAGCAGCACGTTACTGCAGCAGCACGTCATAGCTGCTGATAGGAACCGCTGTGGTCAACAGAACCTTTTCCACCGGAGCCGTCAGCAGCGCGAGTCGGCCGCATCTCAGGAGCAGCAAGTCGCGGCCTTTATGCGCCGGTTCTATTTTCTACGCGCGACGCCTCTGAAACGGGTCAAGTTCGACATCTTTGGGGAAGGAAAGACAGGAAATCGGACGCGGAAATGGAGAGAAGCTCCAGAGATTTTCAGAATAAAGAACGTACTGCCTTCCGGTTGCTTTACTTTAAAAACAGTTACTAACTGTGTGGCCCCGTGAGAAGTTATCACCTAGCTAGCGGTCTCCTTTGTTTTTCAGGTCCGTATTGGCGATTATAAAACGGACAGAACATAAAACACAAACATTTTGGAGCCATGTTGTAGTTTTCTCCTGCTTGTTGTGTTTACTGACGAAGTGGTGACAGCTGCTCCCCTGCTGCTTCGCGTCTCATGGGAAGGGCCAAGCAGCAGTTTACGCGAGCAAGACGTGCTGCTGCAGTAACGTGCTGCTGACGGCTCCTGTGGAAACCCGGGGTTAGACTGCCGGTACCTATCAGCCGCCTCTGGAGTTCCACAAGCCAGAAAGACCTGATAGGACTCTTTCTTCAGCTGACAGCATGTACGTAACCACAGGTGTCCACCAGTGAGTTAGGGGGTTGGCACCACGGCAGACACTGACGGCCCTGCAGCCACAGCTCTGGTCAGCCACCTCAATAAGGGAGGCATGGAACAGGGCCCATTCAAACTCAATGTCCCCCGCCTCCCCCAGAATGTTTTGGAAGTTCTATCAAAGGTGGGAATTGAAGCTCCTTCTAACAGGAGACTCTGCCAGGCATTCCCAGAAGACCCTTACAATGCGTTTGGGGTGTCAGGTCTGACCAGCACCCCCCTCCCACCATTGGAGGCAACTCGCTGACACATAGCGATCAGTGGATAGCTCCGTCCCTCTCTTCACTCAAGTGTCCAAGACATGCAGCTGCTGATCAGGTATCCTGGTGCCAAGAGCACATATGGACACCTTTATGTCTGAACATGGTGTTCATCATGGACAATCTATGACTGGCACAGACGTCCAATAAAAAAAAACTGCTCCAATTTAGATCAAAGGGGGTGTTCCTCCCAACCACACCTCTCCAGGTCTCACTGTCGTTGCCCAGGTGAGCTTTAAAGTTCCCCATTTGTTTTACTCATAATTTACATTGTGTTTATTTTACAAATGAAAATGTGGTCACAGCATCCAGCTTGCCTGAAGGTTATATTGTGCCACACCATCATACTGGGCAATTTGCAGAATCTTAGTTAACACCAAAATATCCCAAACTGGATTACTATAAGTTATATACAAGATATAGCATTCACTTTTATTTGATTATATCAGCCATCATACCACTATTTCCCTACTATAGAATTTTTTCTGCACATCACAGCACCTTTGGGCCTTTGCATCATCCTTAATAACCCCAAATTGGCTAAAACTGGATGTATTCATCCAGACTAATTGTCATAAAATCAAATGCTGTTCGGAATGCCCCCTTGGTACCCAAATTAAAAACATACCTTTGACTCAATTAGTAATTCGTTGATTATTGTTAAAATGCAGTTGTCCTGCACAAGTTTCCACTGTCGTGATATTTGACACTGAAAAATCTTCTGCCCCTGTAGACCTGGATCACAATTCGTTGTCGCTGTGGTGCCTTCATAGCCATCTCCAAGCAGCACATCCCTGCAAACAGGTGCTTGAGGATGTACATACATAATTAGTGGGTGTGTATGGGGGGTGGGGGGGGGATGTCACTATTGTAACTCTAGGTTCTATGAGTATAGGCACAGCCCTTAAAGGCTGTCTTTTGGATAAACCATTATCAGATTAGCCAATCACTGAAGAGCTTTCAATATACTATTACTGTATAAATGGGTTGCTGGTCCTGCTCTTGTCTCCCAAGGCTCTTGACCCTACCGAAACCAGTGAGGCCAGTCGCCTAAAAAGCTAGTCCTATACTCATAGAATCTTGGAATACAATGCTTACCCAATGTTCTATTTCATTTATGGCTGTGCCCTTAAAGGCTGTCTATTGGATTACAGGTGGAGCTGGATGAGTTACCTCCTCACTGGTTCAGTCAAACATTAAGGGCACACCCAGTGCCAAAAAGCCTAAGTAAAAATACACTATCCTTAGGGGCAGAAATGCCATTTAATATTGTATTTGGGAGGGGGCACTAAACAGTAACGGTTCAGAGAGTAATTTCTGGGGCAGACAGGAAAGAAATGGCTGTGTCCTGCTGTTTGGCAACTTGCAGGGGGGGGGGGGACCTCCAGCATGAGCAAGACCACTAAGAAACCAGTGGATCAGAGGCAAGATGTTTGAATATCAGGAAATAACACAGACTGATGGGCTCGACACACGGAGGCGACATCGCCTCTCCTCCATTCATTTTCAATGAGACATGCGCGACAAAGCGATAATCGCAGGTCTCTCTCCTACTAAGCGAAACGCGAAAAACGTGCGTGTGAAAGTTTGCACTCGTGCACGTGTCGTGCACGTACAACCCAGCGACGCGATCCCAGAAAGTTTAAACATTTTCAACTTTTCATCGCTGTCGCTCGGGCGAGGACCAATCAACGGAGGTTTCATTCACTGACCAATGAGCGGACAGGATGCTCCGTACATCTCCGAGCAAACATGGAGGAGAAGTTGATTATTATTATGTTTTATAGTAAAATCAGAAGTAAGATTTTACATAACTCTAGCAGCACCTTGTGAAACATCATATCTACCACTTTATTAACTCTGAACCGCTTAAATAACCTTAATTCCCTCCAACCTGACACAGCCAATCAAAACAACGGAAGTTTCGATTTCGCAATGGAACAGAACGCGTAGACGGCTTTGCCGCTGGCCGCTGCCGCGGATCGCCTCCCGAGTGACAGGTAATAAAAGCGACAGCGACAGCGACAAATTTCGCTGATCGCGGTCGTTTGTCGCCTCCCGTGTGTCGAGCCCATAATACTCCAAATTCTGCCATTTTCTGCTCCGCTCTCCTCCAACTAAATTCTTGTTCCTGAAACAGGAGCACCAGAGCTTTTCCCCGCACAGAGATATACTCACAAGACATTCTAGACAGGTAAGGCATAATAGAAATCATGATGTGGAAGATATTTAAAAAATCCATCAATTTTCCATTAAAAAAACTTAAATATGGAAACTATTTGCATAATCTAATAGAACTATCCTGTGCTGACTAAGTTATATAAGCTAGTCTATCACTTAGTGACCAGCTGTGATCAGCAGCAACATCAACAGTTGATCAGACCCGCTTTATCAATGTCACAACCTGTTGAAACATTAGAAACTAGGATGAACATTGGTCATGTAACGTCCACAAATGGTCAGTTTTTCATGTGCAGTTTGACCTCTTCAGTATCTGGTCATGTGGAGACAGGAGTCTACATTTGTTGCCTTTAATCTGCCGGATCCTGCCATTCCATCAGCTGGAGTCCGGGCCTCTCTGCAGCTCGGAAAACATGATAACGTATTTTCAACATCATACACTCAGACACAAGGTTCATTAGAGATAAATTAAAGTTAAGTTAAACATCATGACACATAGATATTTTCTTAGCCACAAATCAGAGCATCCTGTATCTGAAAGAGGGCGTGATGTTCTGAGAGTTTGTTGTTAACACCCCTTAACATGACACATCCCGGTTGGCCAAGAAATCATAACATGAGAATATCAAAACAGAGCTCATTTCACGGTGAGTCAGTTGTAGAGAAAGCTGCGGACCGGCCATCCGGTGCGAACCCTCTTTAACCCAGAGCATTTTTGACAAGCTGTCAAAAACCCTGCTACACGCTGAAGCTGACACAGCAAACGGAGCCAAGAACAAGGCTGATACGGTTCCAGCTCCCTGAGTCCTTCTAGAAGCAAACGGTTTCATCTATCTGTCGTGACTCGAAAACATCTCTGGACTGGAGAGTCGATGCTGTAATCTACCAAACCTCGGTGCCCAGAGGTCATCCAACCTCCCTGACCTCCGGATCCGCGAAGAGGGTCTCCAAAGAAAGGGTGAGGTAGGCACACGTGATTGCGTCTAATGCCGTTTTGATAAGAACCAACTTCATAGTTTAATGCAAACCAAATTCTTTTCACCCAGAACTCAGTTCTTCTAGATACAAGGTGCTAATGAACACACCATTAAATCACCATACATCACATCCCATCCACTTAGATTCATCCATCACAGTAGTCTCGGTTAACTTGTCATGTTTTTAATTGTTTAGAAAATAAATTTCTTATCTTTTATAAACCTGACTGAAGTGATTCGAAGTGTGTTTGATCCCTGAAAAAGCAAAGAATCCTAGAATCTTCTGAATAAACATCCAAAGACCAAGCAGGTTGGTTTCCTATATTTATATAGAGTATCACAGCTTATTGGTAATAAGTAAAGGTAATATATTAAGCTTAAAAGCAATTATATTTACCCCTCTACAGTCATAATAAATTATTCTAAAACGTTTACTTTAATCTGCTGATCATCTGAAACATTAAACATTTATGGAAGACGTCTGAAGAAAATATCCAGGCTGCCCAATAAATGATAAAACAACTACCTATTAGGTTTTTTTTAAGGATTTGAGATTTCTTAAACTTAATCCCTACTTCTGCAGTTGTTAATATATAAAGCTAATTAATATTGGTAACAAAATAGCTGTTGACCCTTTTAATTTCAGTAATAACTAGTAAGAAAATTATTTGGACTTGGACTAAATAATAATTCAATTGTTGCTATTTAAGATAGGAATTAGGCTACAAAAAGGTGTGATTGCTGATTAAATGTAAAAATGGCCCACCACGCAGACGGGTCATGCTCATACTTGCCAACCCTCACGATTTTGCTGGGAGACTCCCGAAGTTCTGTGACCCTCCAGAAATGGCAGAAATTGCATTATTTTCTGCTATTTCAGCTGTTAACTTTATTTTCTCTCTAAGTGTTTTTCTCCCCAGAAGAAGCGACAGTGACGTTCTGCTGAGCTGTGGTGGCCTCATGGAGGGGGCCATCGTCTAGCACACTGCTGCTAACCACTAAAACATTCTCCCTCTCCTGATAATAACTTTTTGGTTTCCTTGACGTTGGATGTGCTACTACTAGTTTACCCGTTTAATTATAGATTCACTAGGATAAATACAATAAAGTTTATCTCTCACCAAATAGAATATCTACTAAGAAATCACAATGTAACTAGGGATGGGTACCTTTGACATTTGAATCGATCCGGTACTAATTACCGGTACCTACGAATCGATACCGGTACTTAACGGTACCAATTTTTGATACTTTTGAGTGTTTATTATTTTAATTCTCTTTTATAATTAAATATATATTTTTCTCAATATATAACAATATTTGATAAATATCACGATAAATAGCATACAACTGTTTGTATTTTAACATCGCCCTTGTAGTTTTATAAACTGATAATTAAACTGAAGCAAACATCTTTACTGTGAACTAAATTTACTGTGTATCTTCATTCCTTTTGCCTCCTTTTTCATTTGATTTTTCCTACTGGGAAGTTAGAATTTCCGAGGAGAAAGCGAACGCACCATTAGCTGATAACAATGGTAGCAATGGAAGCTAACATATCAAGCTAACGATATCTTAAACAGTTTATTTAGCTGCTGGAGCAGATTAAAACGATGCCTCACACTTAGATCGTCACTGGTTTCGTCTTCACCCGTCACATTTAGTAAAGTGAAGCCAAACTTTAGAGCGCGTTCATGTTCTTCTAGTCGGAAATTCGGAGTTCCGAGGAGAAAGCGAACGCACCATTAGCAAAACGGAAGCTAACATATCAAGCTAATTATATTTACCTACCAGAGCAGATTAAGATGAGGATGTCTCACTTAGATCGTTGTCGCTGGTTTCATCATCCAGTTACCCATCACATTTAGTGAAGTGGACCCAAGCTTTAGCGTGCGTTCTTTCTACCATGCTGCTCTGTTCACAACTGGTTCACAGCAAGCGAGGACAAAACGCTCTTGCGCATGCGCAGCTGTCTTGGCAAGTTCTCGTTATGATGGACGGGTACCGAAACGAGGCACCGTTTGAAATGACGTGAATCGGTGCTCGGTCGGTTCTATGGAATTCGGTCGGTACCTTAAAAAGTACCGAATTCGGTACCCATCCCTAAATGTAACCATAAAAACATTACTCGGTGTGCGTGTGTGTGTGTGTGTGTGTGTGTGTGTGTGCCTGCTCTGTCTTCTCCATCCCCAGTGAGTTGTGGATGGCTCCTTATACTGAGCCAAGATTCTCTGAAGTTTTCTTCCTGTTAAAAGGGTGTTTTCCTCTCCACTGTCGCTAAATGCTTGCTTAGTATGAGGATTGCTGTAAAGACATTGACACTAGTCAGTGACTCGATGCAACCTGCTGGGTTCCTTATATAGTAGGGATGAGCGAGTACACCACTATCCGTATCTGTTCAACCATCTAAATTATCTGTATCTGTACTTGGAGGGGGCGTGGCCTAACCCAGAAGTTGGTGTGGTTTAACCGGAAGTGGGTGTGGCTTACACCAATACATGATTTGATATGGATTCATCAGAAGTTTCTATGTGTATTGTTTATTTGAAAACTATTTACAGAACAGCCTCAGAATTGAGATAAAATATTTTTGATCACAATAGTAAAGGAACTATTACAGAAATAGTTTTTCAATAATATCAGAACATT